CCTATTTTTTGTTACCTTTCAGCTTGGCCACCAAGTGCCTGAACTCCTCAATGGTGTAAGCTTCATCTACTCCTGTGAGAGCAATTGCCCCATCTGGGCCTGACCTGGGCCCATCCCACAGCTCTCGATTTGGATCCCTCCGGGGCACAAAAAGTATGGATTTGTGAGACGGAAGTGCTTTGCCAGGAATGCTCTGCAGCACCAGGATGCTGTCAGGCTCCTGAAAGCCACAGAGGTACAGGAAATTAGTGTCCTGGTGGAAAATATAGGGGATGTCATTGCTCATGTAGTATGTGGGGTTGGACAGCAGAATCACTGTGTGGTCCAAACCATCCCAGCCTTGGGCTTCCTTCTGGATCAACACCATCAGTTTGTGTCGGCGAAGAGCATATTCCACCTGTGACAATCCTGGGGTTACCTCTCCTGTGAACACAAAACAAATCAGATGGAGAAATTCAAGGCACTAAGGGTATTTTACTAGTCACAGGCCTGATTCTTGCCTGCTCCCTGATGCCTTACAAGTGCATGCCTTCTTTGTAACCTCACACATGCCTTTCCCTTGCTCCTCTTCAGCTTCCATCCCTACAGCACATGCTCATTTAGGCTGCTTCTCCATCATGCAAAGACAGACATTGGTTTTAACCAATTGGATGTGTGTTACATATTTCTGTGCAAAGGTAGAAATCACAAAACCTGGTAGATTTAAACAAACATCCAAATGTTTGCAGAGAATGTGAAAAAAAAAAAAAAGGGGGGAAGGGGCAAGGCAAACTGAACTTTGACTCCTAAAAACTGATGGGTTTTACAGCACGGACATTGAACAGAAGTTTGCCTCCTGAGGTTGAGCATTAATTTCCTCAGATAAAGCTAGAATGTTTGTTCAATTACACACTAAGTCAACTCATAAAGTGACCATTTCTAAACCACAAAGGGCAGATTGAGTGTCAGAGATTCTAGGAGATCAGGCAGAAGTGCAGAGGTTGCAGAGTCTAACCAGTCACAAGATTCCAAGCAGAAACAAAGCACGGACTGCAGGCTGCCATCAGACTCCTGTTAAGGGAAGGGATCTTCTCCAGGGCATACGTAGCTTTTGTCAATATTTAACAATTCAAATTTTTCTGAAGTTAAAATACTGTATTTCTAATACCACTAAGCAAATGATCTCTCAGATGAAGGTACTCTTTCAACTGCTCCAGCCCCAAAAGACATGAAGTACAGCAATCAAGATACTCACCAAAACAGGACTGAAGTTCAAAGGACAACCAGCAACAGCTGAAGTATGTATTTTTAAAATTGTGAGACTCCCTAATTATGATCTAAATTAATATAAGAGCCTTAATCAGTATCTTTGGCTAATACCCTACCTTAACATACATTGAATTTTGATACCGTTTGTTAAACTTTCCACTTTCATAATCTTTTCTTCCTCTTTCATGTATTACACAGTGGCAATTCTAGAACAAAAACTGACATTTGACTTATACTGCAAGTGGATTCTTGCATGAGTGCAGTGGGAGGGGGAAGTTCTATTTGCATTAATTTTTACACCTTTTCAATTATAGCCTCAATACCTATTATATGTAAGTCTTTAAAAAGAACCAAACCAACCCAGAAAACCCACCACAATTATTTTACTCTGTGAATGACAGGGAACACAGAAACTGTTTTAATGCAATCTGGCCTCATAATTCCACAGTGTTATACTGCAAATTTCCTATGTTCCATTGCATTCCAGTCAGCTTTTTAACTGCCACAGTCCAGTGAATTTCAGAAGCTGCAATGGGGTGAAACATGGGGATCCCAGCTGGCTTCCAACTGTGAGGCCTGGAAATTCTCTTTGCATTAAAGGCATTTGCTTTTTAAAACAATAATTGCAATAAAACAATGTCATATTATTTTAAGGAAACCACTTCTACTTTATTAAATGGAAAAATACTTTGGACTGGTAGAATTCACTTCCAGTGCTTTGGCTGCACTTTAAGCAGTCAGCCTCGTTTATTGTGAGCTGGGAATGAGTGTCCTAAGCAACCTAATCTAATGCTGAAGTTAGCCCAGCCTTGAGCACAGGGGGAAGCTGTTAACTGTGAGGTTCCTTCTGACCTGATTTATTCTACAATTAACTACAGGTGTATATATATAGACACATATATATATATATACACACACACACAGAGTCATCTGTTCTCCCTTTATACCCACCTGTGGAAGAACACAATGTTTTCCTAGACATGTTTCTCAATATATTTTGTTTGTTTGCAATTTTTTGTTTGGTTGTTTTTTAGATTTAATTGTGATCTTGTGCCTACATCCTCATTTTCAGGAATCTCAAAAAAATGCACAAACTCAGCTTGCATCACCACTGTCTAATTTCATAGTCACAAACTTCTTTTTCTCCTTCTCCTCATATTGAATACTCCTCTGAACAGGGCACATTCTTTAGACAAGTGCTGTCCATTTATCAATGTCCCTCCCCAACCACCTTTGTTGAACTGCACCTTTGTTTTGTGACTCACAAGACACGGCATATGAACCATTCTGACAGTTCAGCTTGCACAAAAGACTCCCTCTTAATAAAAAAACACATTTATTTGCAGGACAAGTCCACAGAATGCCACTGCCAGAAAAAGTCTGCAGCACCCAAGTAAACAACCCTGAGAACATCATGAGAAAAAAGAAAGAAGCTATGAAAGCCATCACTTGTGAAGCCTATTTTTGGAATCAGTATCATCTCAGACAAGGAAATTAGCTACTAAATATAATTACTGGCTAATGAAGGGAGTCATAAACACCCTAAACCACAGACAACTCTATGATGCAGCAAATCAACACACTCAGAAAAATGGAGACAAGAAAACATCAATGACTGGCTCATGCAGGGCACAAACCTCACCTGGTTTGAGCAGATGTGGGTGTGTGAAGGGGCTGGGCTGGCCCAAATACCGGCTTGGAATCTTCTTCTGCTGGGCAGGCTGGATGGAAAATCTTCGGAGAGCACATGACTTGCAAACTAGAGGAAAAGAAATGCACCATGTCAAGGTAAAAAAAACCCCAATCTTTCCAGTTAGGAAACTGCAGAACTGTGGTCTAGTCATCAGACTCTTAGCAGCATTCCTTCACTTATATGACATAAATATCCCTCCTTAACTTCTCCATTTGCTGTGCATCACCATAGTTCATGAAACAATGTGCACACAACTCAACTGACAATCAAATATTCAAGGAACAGATAGAAATAAACAATCTATGCTAAACCTGACAATCCAGCAACAAAACCCAGGAAGCTCCATTGGTTTGCACATCCCAATTCATACAAATGGTGTTCACAAGGCACTAGCACTCTCCTTGCTTCCCTCAAACACCACAGGGCTCCAGGCACCACACCTGTATATTGTCTCTTCTCTACCATGTCTTCAAAAAATTTCTCTCACCTGGAACAATTACACAGTTTTCAAGGCTTTTCCAGTTCTGTTTTTTTGCTAATAATGCTGCAAAGAATCCATCAAATAACACAAGTTTATACAGGAATTTGATTTTCTTTTCCTGTCTGGAGGACACCCGAGCATCCCTGTTTGTGTATCGACCTTCCATGGTAACAGCACTGCCAAACTCTACAGTTATGAATCCCACTTCCAAACCCACACACAGCCAAAGCGAGTGAGTTTTAAAGACAACTACAAGTATGCATTTGTGAGCTGGGAACAGGCATGATAAGACAAATTCTGAAATGAAAAATGAATTGTCAGAAATTTTAGAGTTCCCAGTCACAGCCTTCTGCAGCTGAAGAAGTGCTTGTGCCTGAATACAAATCATCCAGACCTGTAGGAAGGAGGGTAGTCAGAAGGTAAACACCTATTTGATGTTTTGGAAAGGGGTTCCTCTTTATGTTACTTACCACATGCCTACTAGAAAACCAATTTGTGCTGCCATTCTTAGAACAAATACTTGTAACCCTTCACCAGCATAAGCAAGGATAACACAAGAAAACATCTGCCTTTCAGGGCTGAGCCTCCGGGCCTTACAGCAAAACATACAGAGCGTGGATTTGCTGTGGGAGCCAGCAGGATTAGCCTCTAACTGAAGATCAATTATGCACGACAAGCGATAGTCATAACATGAAGCGTTCATTATGTGATGCTTGACTGGAGACCCGGGCGGTGAAATGTAACTGTAGGCTTTTTTTGTCGTCTAGTTTAAAATTGGTGTTTCTACTGTTATTCTCCACATACGCAGCAGACAAACAGGACAGCTCGCAACCAGACCTACACAGCCGGCATTAAATAAAGCAACACCTTGAAGGCAGCGAGGAGCTTTCTACCGTTGCTTTATTATTCAAGTTACTGCCTGTTCTTCCCTAGGATTCAGCCCTGACCGGGGCTGCCACTGCGCCGCCGGGGAGAGCCGCTTTCCCGCGACCCGAGAAGCGAAAGCGGGGCCGTAAGCTGCGGCAGCGGGTGTCGCCACGGGAGCGGGGCGGTGCAGGGGTGTGGGGGAGGAGGGGTGTCTGACCTGCGGCGCCGCGCCAGCCCCGGGCCGCCAGGACAAGCGCCTGCTGCGGGAGGCGCGACATGGCGGGGCCGCACGGCGCATGCCCGGGCCTCTCTGCGCCGCGGCGCCGCGCGCTGACACCATCGCCGCGCGCGGCCCGCCGCCAATGAGCGGCGCCGCGCCGGCGCAGGAGGGCCCGGAGGCCGCCTGGCTCGCCCGCCAGGGGGAGCCCGCGCCACGGCGGGGCCGGGCGGCAGCAGCAACAGGAGCGCGACTGGCAGGCCACGGCTGCCGCTTCCAGAACGTTTCCCCCGCCACGCCGGGGCGGCCCGCCGCAATGACTTGCGTGGGCTGGGTCGGGGCCTCGGGATGGGATGGGATGGGCGGGGCGGGCTGGAAGATTCCACGCTCCGCGCGACGTTTGTGGGCGCATTCATGGAGTTTATGGGCGGAGCCTGCTTGGCACGGGAGGGGGCCATTTATAGTGGGCGGGGCCTGACCGGTGTGGGCGGGGCCTCTGGCGGGCGAGGCGGGCTGGAAGGTTCCGCGACGGGTGGGCGGGGGAACGAGCGTTCCTGGGCCGCCGCTGTGCCGCCATGGACTCGCGCAAGCTGAGTGAATTGCGGGCCTTCGTCCGGCTGTGCAAGCAGAACCCGGGGGTGCTGCACTCCCCGGAGCTCGCCTTCCTCCGCGAGTGGGTGGAGAGGTCGGTCCCGGGCCACGGAAGAAGGCGGCCGTGAGGGGCGAGGGGGGAGGGGTGTTCTGGCGCGGGACGCGGTGAGGGGAGGGGGGCGTGTCTCTGAGCGCGTGCGGGCGCACGGGCGCGCCGCGTGGCCGGGGCGGGGGGCGCGCGGTGTCGGCCCCGCGGCTCCGCTCCGCGCCGCGCCGCGGCCTTCCCGCCTTCTCCTCCCCTTCCCGCTGGGATTGCTCCTGGCGCGTTAAAAAGACTTGTTCGTTTTTTGATCTGTTTTGTTTCGTTAACTCTGGCTATTCCCATTACAAAAATCCTGCCCCCCGGCCATCTCAGTGGCTCAGCTTTCCAGGCTGGAAAGCCCCAGAGTAATACTTAGGGAGCTAATTCTCGCATTACGCAGCAGAGTTGGCTAGCCTGTCTTAAAAAGGAGCCCAGTTTGTGGGGAGGTGAGTGACGTTGACTTACATCCTGGTACCCAAAAGCACAAAATACCTGGCAGCTACCGTTCCTGCCCAAAACCTGGTTTGCTCTTGGAAGTTTGATGTCTCAGAGGTAGTCCAATTTTCCGCTCCCTGTGAGCCATTCAGGTGCCTGCTGGTTACGATGCACGTATTGTGTGAGCGGGGCCTGCCGTAAGAGATGCTTCCCAAATAAATTCTCTTTGGGTTCCGCCCTGAAGCACGAGGTGGAAGGATTGGGATTCTTTGCTGCTGGCAGAGAACCCACAGAACTCCTGTGTTCAGCTACGGTGCCTCTGCTTGACTTTTATGGGTGCTGTGCTAAAGAGCTCTGGAGAAGTGAGGGACATACTTTCAGGTGCACATGTTAAGCAAAGAGAATTTAAAACAGTGGCAAGCTGGGATTTGTTTTAGAAAATTTGTGTTAATCTTAAACAGCAGGATTTTGTTTGTATAGATGTGTACATATATAAAGAGAAGTAAACACTGGCATTTCACAATACGATCTCTAATGACAATGGCTACAATGAAGCGTTTATTCTTTTTTTTTTTTTAGTGATACTTACATTTTTTATGCATCTGAATAATACTGTGGTTGTAAAACCACTGGTATTTAACTGAACTTGGCTTTGCAATACTGACAGTAGCTATACCTCTGCCTAGGAAGGAGATTGATGTCTGTCTCATCTACTGCAGGTCTTTATTCCTTCTGCTGTTGCATAAAATACTTCGGGGCCTTACCCTGGGCTTCTTCCAGTACTTCTGTTGCTTAAATCTGAAGGTGTGGACAGATTACTTTAAGAGGGAGAGGAAGAACACTAACTTCTTTTTTTGCCTAAGAAAGTGTTAGGGAATGGAAAGATGACCATCTGACTTTCTCCGTGTTAATGGGAAGGGCTTTAATTTCCAGATTAGTTTTTAGAATTTGTATCTGGTGCTTGTCTTATAAATACAGTAATTACAATTAAAGCCACTGAATGTTTTTTACATGTAAAATCTTCACTGAATGTCTTTATCTTAAAAAAATACTTCAGAGCAGAACCTCCTACAGCTCTCTGAAGTTTTCTGGTTTTCTTAACATATTTAACTTAAATATTTGCCTGAGTAATACACTTGGATGGTGGTAGTGGTACCCAAATTACTTACCATGCAAAACTGTCTGGAATTCTGGTGGGGTTCCCTCTGCCTTTACGTAACAGTGTCGTGTGCGGTAGAAGTGTTAGGTGCATTATAGGGCCTGATCATTCTTTGGAAACTGCTTCACACAGCATGGCCTGCCTTCAGGTGGGAATAAACTCAGTAATTCTTATATCTCTGTCTGGCATACCGGTCTTAATCTGAAAGACAGAAGTTTGTTTACCTAGGCAGTGTTAAGAGTGATTAGAATAATGACTAAATGATACTAAAATCCATCATTAAATTTTTTTACTAAAATTCTGCTAATTGCTTTATTTTTTCCTAAACCTAGTGATTGTAATTTAAATTTTGCTAACTACTCATGAAGCCAGAATGGGATGCTTTATTTCTTATCAGCTTTTAATTTTGCATCAGTAACCTTAGGTCTTGCCTGTTTTCATTCACTTGTTGTTTTCTAACACTTATTCTGCCTAGCTGTTATATTTAATTTCTATATTGATGCTCTTGGTAGAGAAAGTATAGGGTGCATGAGTGTGTTTGGAAAGTGTTTTGACATTCCTTTTGTCAAGCCCATTTTTTCATAATTGCATAAAAATACAACTGTTTTACTTGAATTATTATGAGATGAGTCATTAAAGGAAACATGTTTCAAAACCCTGCAATTGAACAAAGAAACAATAGCAGTCCATAAAAATAAACCACAGAATCCCTAATTGATGAATAAGGCTTTTTGCCTTTTTTTGTGTTTTGTTCAAATAGGTTTTTACCCTTTTGAATTCATGGTGATCCAGTTTCTCTCTAAAGATAATTTTGCTGTCAGTAATAAAAGTGGTTGCAGAAATCACATTTGCAGTTCTTCCAACAAGTCACAAATGACAGTTTTCATGGCCATGATGAGTGGAAAAGTGCAGTCACTGTTGCACAACTCCCAGGTGTTACTGGCATCACACACTAAACTCTTTGTGTGTCTTGTGTGTGTCTGTGCTTTTTCTACAGCTCAGTACCTGCCTTTGCCTACAAGAGTGCCTTGTGTTTCCATGTACTGCTGAGGTTTAATACATTGCAAACTTTGCATATATCCCTGCTGTGTATTCAATCATTGTTATCAAATACTGGGTTAAGAGATTTTAGAGTAACTTGCTTTTGAGTTATTTTGGGATTATAACTGTAGTTTAAATAGAGATTACCAGGATAGCAAGAATATTTTCACATACTGTGAGTGAAACTGTTTAGCCTTGGTAGTCCATGAAATACCATATTATAAAGCATGCATGTATCTTAGTAAACATTTCTCAAACTGAACTAAACTTGGATATTTTGTGGAGGGATATGAAGAAAGCAGAGGAGACTGACTCAGTTGTTTCAGTCTTGAGGTGATTTAAGGTTTCAGACTTACAACCAGCTAATACCATGGATGTTAGCTATTAGTTCTGGTATTAGTAATTTGTAGTTTTCTTTATGCAGAAGAAAAGTTCCAGGGCTTCACTAGATGGTCCCTGTAGTCCTCTCCTTGGTTTTTAGAGACTAATACAGTTAGGTGTTTTATTGTTAGCCTACGAGGGCAAAAATTTAGGAGGAACAGGTAGTCCATGTTCTGTGTTTTCTGCCTGGCTGGATAATGATTTCTCAGACTGCAGTTGTTTAGTCCTTGCAGTATAACTTTGGTTAAGTAATGTCAACATCCCAGGGACACAGAGATTCTTGCAATAGCTTCGGAACATGCTGGTGTTTGTCACTGGTTGGGGTTTTGTTGGTTGGATGGTTGGTTGGTTGGTTTGGGGGGGTTTTTTTGACAGTTTTTTCTTGTAAATGAGAAGCAGTTTTATGCTGTTTGCTTGCCTTTTGTGGCAGGGCCCTGTGCCAGGACCTGTCAACTCCTTCTCCAACTCATTCTACCCTTTCTCCCCCATTTCATCCCTATCCCTCTCCTATTCTGCCTCATTCAGGTTTGTTTTCAGCCAGTTTGAGGCCTGACTCTGAGGTGCTGCTGACAGGAGGGAGGAAAGATGGGAGAATGAACTGCAGCTTGACTTAAGAAGTTATAACTTCTCATCCCTGGGATACAGTTCTTTGTTGCACTAATTCCTGAAAGCAGATAGTCCTACATCCTTCCAGTTCCTCCTGCTCATTCTTCCAATGCCTCCTTACCCACCTCCTCCTCCTCTCCCTTGCAGCCAATCTATCCACTTGTGTTGGGCTCCAAGGAGTTGGTTGTTGAGTTCATGGAAATATTTTTATTGAAAACCATCAGTAGGTGGAAATGTGGGGCAGGGGATGCCTTGGAATGCTATTCCTTGTGGTGTGCTGTCATAGGTATGATTAGCTGTTCTATCTAAGAGCTGGAGAATTCAGCATCTGCTTATTCCTGGCTGCTAATCAAAGTTGGTAGCATGTGGAAGTTTATTCTGTATTGACAGAATGCTGTCTCCACCAAGACTGATCCTTAACTGTGGCAAGGGAAAAGCAGGAATATTGCAATGTGTAAGAGAAATGATTTTTTTTTTCTAGGCAGCAGGGTTTTTTTAAATTGTGTAGGCATTTTAGGCTGTTCTCTTTAATTGTTTGACCTCTGTTCAAAAAAAATTTCTAATTTTAATAATATCTATAATAATAATATCTAGTTTTGATTCAAACATAAGTTACATTTAAAGGAGAAAATCCATTGGAGCCAAGAGGCAGCTTTTCCTTGTGAGAAAGGGTGGGTGGGTGAAGGGTGGTGTGAGTGAGTACAAGTCTCAAAGGAGTTGTACAACAGTGTGCATTGCACTACACCGAGATATGTGTGGGGGATGTGAACTCTGTTTGCTGCTTTGATAGTGAAATGGATCATCGTGTGTTGTGTTACAACAAAAAGCTGAGATTATCAGGATTTGAATCAATAAAATACATGCCACTATTTTGATAATCTTACTGTTTTGTTTTGTCTTTTCTGTTTTGCTGAAAAGTATGGGAGGCACAATACCGCCTGCTCCAGCCAATACCTCCACGGAGGAGACAAGTAAGGTAAGATATGAAGAATTTATCACTGAAAATTGATGCTGGCAAAATTACTGAGAAGCAGAAGGGGAAAATTTGCTGTCAGTTTTCACTCAAATAGGGAGGGTGAATGTGAGAGTTCAGTCTGAAGCCTGCCCATTGTGTGTTTTAGATGACTTGTTACAGATGGCTTCCTAGTTAATTTGGAGTGTTATCATGCTCCATTTCCCTAATCCTGAATGCCTGATGTTCTCTGCAATGCAAATGCCATACAGAGTCTTGATTTTTTTTTTTTGTTGGTTTTGTCTTGTCTGTTTAGAAACCATTTCTCTGGTCATTATATTATGGATTATATTATAATCTTTCCATGAGAAGAAGTATTAAGGAGCATGATAAGTAATGCTGTGATCAGTGGAACTATCCAATTTTTAAGGCAGTATTGTGGAAGATGTTGGTTGTTGCTGATTTATTTTAAGGGAGAAAATAAATTTGCCTTATAGATATTTATATGAGGATTTTTTCAAGTTTGAAATACTTCTGGAAAAAAGATAGTTTGTAATTTTTTTAACAAGACAGTGGATGCTGGAATTGCTGGCCAGTTAGAGCAATGTGGAGGGATTGTGTGTATGTACTGAATATAGTCTGTGACAAGAGAAGTATAAAGGCAAGCAGCTTGTATCTGTGTTGATAGACAGGTTGTCTTAAGTTATGGGATTCAGATGAAATTTAGTTAGCAGTCTAACTAAATAACATTTAAATATCTAACTAAATAAAACATTTGAAATTTTTGAAAAAAAATATTCTATGTAGAAGTGGCAACAATCTCAGACCTTGGCAAATGAAAACAATATTTAAATCACTGTCATCAGCTCACTGTTCCCTGCTAAAGGACATTAGCTTAATGGTATTAAATTGAGAGAATTTTTGATCCAGAGAATGTGTGAGGGAAGGCAGGAAGATTGTAAGGGTTGGTTAGTAATCACTGCAAAACTGGATCTGAATTGGATGTTATTTGGATTATTTGGTTTTGGCTATTGAATTAAAAAATTTGAAGGACCAGCTTTACCAATAATAGAAGTTTTATGAGTCCAGATTTGGGCTCTGAAATATTTGCATACATGATGGGTTTAATCTGAGAGGAGAGAAATGAAGATTAGTATCTTAAAAATAAAATAGTTCAGCTGTACCACAATCTGATTTTTCTAATACATTGTTATTTATGAGAGTGGAAATAGAGCATTGGTCAGAAATAATGTGTGCTTACAAATATGTGTCTCTCTCAGGGCAAAGCAGAGGAACACGCAGAGGAGCCAGTTAAATCACCTGAACCAGAAAGTGAAGAGAGCGACTTAGGTGAGGAAAATAGCGACTTGATTGCATTTTGCCAATCTGAAAATGATTCTGAAAATCCTGTCTCTGTAGATGGAGCTTAGTCTTGTTTTTTTGTTTTTCCCCCAGAAATTGATAATGAGGGAGTGATTGAACCAGACAACGATGACCCTCAAGAAATGGGAGATGAAAATGTGGAGGTAAGCAAATTTTCAATGTAGCAGTAGGAAAGGTAGGAGGGTTTGAGTACAATCAAGGATAGCAGCTGAGGGAGAATGAATACTCTATTATCTGTGTAACCAGCTGTTGTTTTGCCTCATTTTCTTCTAAACAGAAAACTTACTGGGTTAAAATCACATTCTTTTCTTTTTCATGCTAGAGTCAATCAAAAAGTTCCATGTGGATGATCAGGTCAGAAAACGCGAAAGAAGTTTATCAAAACTCCCATGCAAACTAGATATGTAGAATTCTACCATTATTCAACTTAGCTTTCAAGTGTTTTAAAGCCAAAAATAGTGTCGACTAATGTCTTCAAGCTGAAAGCAAAGATTTCTTGGGGTTTTTTGACCTATGATTTCAATACTAATTAAAATTAATGTTCTGGAATTGGACCACTGAAGCACTTTCTCTTTTGGCAAGGTCTTAGTGTGGTAATTTTGGCCTGGACTCTGCAGCTTGGGGTTTGTGTGTGTATTTTTCATTTTATTTTGTTAGGTAACTGAAGAGATGGCAGATCAAGCTAATGAAAAGAAGATGGAAGCGATAAATGCTCTCAGTGAAGGTGATAAATTGTTTTTTAGTAATTATTCAGGGACGTTTGTTTTGGTTTTCCTCTTAAAAAAACAAGGTAAATATCTTGGACCATTATGAATGCTTTTGAGGAGGAGGAGCCATGCTTCTTGTTGGACACCCAAAACTATCTAGAACTTGAAAGCTTCTTCAAGTACTGTTTTTCCAATGTAGCCATAGTTTAGGGAAAGGTGGAAGAGGGAAGGAGGTACTACAGCATCTTAATTACAAATTGATCATTATAGTAATTCCCTCCATGTTATGATTAGTGTCTCTAGTGGATTGTCTTAATGCAGTGAAAAGGTGTAAAGATGTGACATTCTGTTTAATTGCATTCAAAGTTAAATACACAAATTTAAGTGGGAAAATATCTCTTCAAGCATTAATTTCAGGGTTTGTACTTCAGTAACATAGCAAGATGGAGAAAGTGATTTTTCTTTGTTGCTAATCTTCTATCTAAGAAGTGTTTAGGTACATAACACTATATAAGGCAGGTTTGGGAATTCAGATGTGATTTCATTACATAATCATTGCAACTTCACTGGTACTTATATTTAGGGGACCTTCAGAAGGCTGTTGAATTGTTCACAGATGCTATCAAGCTGAATCCTTGTTTGGCCATCTTGTATGCCAAGAGGGCAAGGTGAGTCATTACCTAGTGATTTATGTTTCTGCCTGTTCTGTTATTCTCCTTAAGGAGCCTAAATATAAGGCAACTTGAGGATCTGTGTAAACTTCAACCACAGGAGGGAAAGGGAAGTGTTCATTTCATGCAGTTTCTCCTCTATTTGACTCACCAGATTTGCTGTAGCAGCCATATAAAGAACCTTGGTAAGAGTAAATAACAGAATGGTGTTCCAAAATGCATTGTGTTAACATTAAGGACACTTTCCTGTCTGACCTTCCAGGAGGCACCCTGGCAGTCATGCTCGCACTGCCTGAGTTGGGACTGAAGTACCTTTGCAGCTACACCCCCCACACTCACACAGACAGATCAGGTTTCCTTACTGTCTTCACCCTGGGTTTCCCTCAGCAGACTCTCAGCCATCTGGATCCTTAAAATAATTTAATCATGATGCAATAACAAATTAACAGCTCGAGCTGGTGCCTCTGAGGTGGGATTCCAAACAAAGAAAGCCCTGGGCTTTTATACCTTGATAGTTGTGCTTCTGAAAGTCTGAGGTCATGGGCTCCTGTCATGTTTGAGTGTCCAGTCAGCTGGCTGGGCCACAGTCCCTGTGCAAAGGGTGACACCAGTTCTTGCCTGGGGCTCTCACCACCTGGAGTCCAATCTTCAGCTGACACTGCAGCTGCACATGGAGTATTCCTGCACTGAAAGTATTCCTCAACAATAGTGCTTTTGGTATGTTGAGGTAGCATAATACTGGGGTACAAACACTTCTAAAATCTGAAGTATATTGTAGGATTAAGATGATGATTGAAATGACACTCTGTTTAGATGCAAACTTAGTTAAGAATCCTCTGAATTCTCTCCCTGTTGTACCTGCTAAATGAATTTGTTAGTAGACAGGTTCTGTTCAACAGTTGTGTGTTTGAACAGGACATAGCTGTATCTCAGCCCATTTTCCACCCACCTTACTGCTGCTTACAACTGCCAGACTGCAGATGATGCTTTGGGAACTTTATAAGTTCATAACACACAAACATCTTTATCTTCCTGATTCTTCAGGAAGGCTTGACAAGTGCAGGTTGCAGAAGCAGATTTTTTTTTCTGTTTTTACACAAAGGACCACTAATCATGGATGATATGATAATTTAGTGGATCTTTCCCATAGCAACTTCATTCAAAGAGAACATAAGCTTTCATAAGATTAATTAGTGTCCTTTGTAATACTGTTCCATTGTAATACTTAGTGAGTGGTACTTGCCTTGCTGTTTCTTTTCCTTCCATATTGGAGTTTTTGCAGGTAACACCACTTGTGTACCTTAATACACCGTGGCTGTTGCCATCATAACAGTATGTTTAAAATCTCTTTTAAGTGTCCTATCTTCTCAGGACTGGGTGTAGCAATGAAAAATAAGAATGTTAGGTGAAGTTTAAAAGTTCCCTCAATTTGATCTGTTGTAGAAAGAAACTAATAATATATTAGGATATTGTAAAACTTGCCATGCTGATCAAGTGCTAGGAGTAATCCATGGTTTTGGTTTTGGGGGGTTTGTGTGTTTGAGAGTTTAGGGGCTTTGTGGAGCCAGCAGCAGTGTAATGGCTCTCATTGATGAGGTGTAGCTTTGGGACACTTCCCTGACACCCTGTCTGCCTTTTTGTGTCTAGAAGACAATGTCTGACTTCGTGCTTGCTTTACAAGAAGCCTTAATAATGAAGTTACTTACAAGAATTGTTGACAAACTGTTTTCAAATACACATAAAAGGAAGATGTAGATTTAGATGTAGATGTAAAAATTCTGGCATGGAGTATGTTGAATATTGAATACTTTTTTCAATTCAGCAATGTTGTTTAGTGCTTCCTTAAGAGAGTTTTAATTTTAATTACTTGAACCTCCTAAAGTACCACTCTACTAGTTAATCTGATATGCTTGTGTGGTGTAAAATTTTCAGTTTTTACAATTAACTGACCAGGGATTGGGGCTTCTTGCCGAGTTTATGTTTATTTTGCGACTTTTGATTTTGATGACTCATGTCCTGCCTCCTTTTCATCATGACTCTAGCTGTTGATCCTTGTAGCCTGTGTAACTCCTCATGCTTTCTTTGTGTTAAAGACTGTGCAGTATGTTATGCCAAATATTGTTGTTTTGTTCAAATTGCTAGTTGCCATTGGCCATAGACCCCAAGCACCATGGGGCTGAACTGTCCTTTGCATTTATGTGTCTTCTCATCTGCATCTCTCTTCTGATTCTTGCTGCCAAGGCTTGAGTCTGAACAATGAATGCTTTCAGTTCTTGCTCATGACTCACCTACAGTGCTGGGAGGGTGAGACTAAATTTCAGCCACTTTGTTATCTATGTTACTGTGAAATCTTTTTGAACTCAGCTCTTCAAATGCATTATCTCACTAGCCTGCCTGTTAGTCATCCAAAATTATTTCCATCTTAAGTTAGTAACTTGGTATTTCAATATGTATAATAAATGTTCTTGTTCCCACAGTGTTTTTGTGAAACTACAGAAGCCAAATGCTGCCATTAGAGATTGTGACAGAGCCATCAAGATTAATCCTGACTCGGCACAGACCTATAAATGGAGGGGGAAAGCACATAGGTAATGAACTGCACCTGTACTTGATATTATCTTTACTTGGGGGGAATAGTTTTTTTCATACATTCTCTCCTTCTCTGTGCCTCTGAACTGTTTGTCTTGTACCTGAGAGCAGTTCCTGTGAGCCAAGAAACCATTGTAATGAGTATGTGGCTTAGACAATAGAAAGGATGATGGTGATTTGATGGCAATTTATGAGTAGTTCTCCTGGTACTGTTTCCCCTGCACTCACCCTTCCTCTCTCTCTCTCATCTTCTAATAGCTTACTGCTTTTCCGAATAACATTTTCTAATTATTTGTTAAAGATGGTGAGATCTAAGACTGCTTGTTATTTGTTTGGAGATCTTTTGTTTTCACTTAGTTTGTTGAGGTTTTTTTCCTGACCTTTATAAGTTTTGAACATTTATCTCCTGTCCTTTTCCCTTAGACCCTGGAGCTCTTTTACATGGTAAATTAAAATGCCTGGTTATTAGGGCACCATTTGTTGCAATTGAGAAATGTTATTAAGCAAACAATGTAGTTATTTGAAATGGTGTTAGGCATCCCACCAACTATAGTTCAACTTTTTTTTTTTTAAATATCAATAAATCAAGAAAAAAGGTGACCATTCCTACAGCTTATATAAAAGTGGAAGAAGTAAATGCTAATATAACTTGAAAAAAAGCATCTTAGTGTTTAGAGAGTAGTTTGTTAGTGTCTGCAGTTTGAATTTACAGTGTGAAACCTAAGAATGGGAAGACTGGGGAATAGTTTGAATTAATACCTCTGTCTGTGAGCAGAAGTGCTTTCATTATTTAGTAATACCACCATTTGCTTAAATTTTTAATTGTCATGAGTATGTATAAATTAATAGTAAGGAAGTGTGCTCAGAGATTTGCATGACCACTTTAAGATGTGGTGCATCCAGTCACGAGGTTTGAGTGCTGAGTAAGAGGGTCCACTTAAGCCTGAGGTGGTAGTAGTGCTTCATGTGTTTAGGTACCCTTCTCCCTGTTAGATCATTCTTTATAGCAGACAATGACATGATCTCATGGAGAGTTTTTTATTACTTCAGACAAAAGTTAATGTAAGGATATGAAGCAAGCAAGTGTCCTCTAAGAGTATTGTAGTGTGCAGCTTCGAGGAATCACCATGGTTCTTAAACTCCTTGTAGCTCTAGGTAAAATTTCTGACTGATGCATGGTTAAATGTTTTGAAGAGCTGCAAGTGTTCAGTTTTCCCTTCTGACTGTTGGTGTCTTCTGAATTCCAGACTTCTTGGACACTGGGAGGAGGCTGCTCATGATCTTGCATTAGCTTGTAAACTGGATTATGATGAAGATGCAAGCGCCATGCTGAAGGAGGTGCAGCCAAGAGTAAGTGGGGAGGAATGTTGGAGGTCTTTCCTAGATTTGTCTGAGTGACACAGCTGCCTTCCTATTCTTCAACAGGCATTGTCTGAAAGAAATGTGTTCATATGTGTTCCAACACTTCAGACTGAGTTTATAAATACTTCTGTCTTTAGTAACAGCTGTTTATGGCTGTGTGTAGAGAAGTTGAATGTGTGGGGCTGGGCATGTAACAGAAATACGAAATATATTCCTTTTTCAAATTTTAACAGAAGAATCTGAAGCAGTTGAAGTTTGCCAGGTATTTTAGAATCTAGACTAAAAACCTTCCAAAAAGCCAGAGATAACTGATAATTTATTTTTTCCCAAGATATTTCTGAGTTGATCAAAGCTTTGACCTTAAGCACGTTTTCCAAAGGAAGCATTTTGCTGTGGTTTGTACTTTCATTAGTCAGCCCCATGAGGGCAGCCTCAGCTCTGCACAGCTGCTTTTCAGCTGTTCTCCCCTGGCTGACCCCAACAATCTTCTAAGGAGAAACTTCTGTAACACTGTTGATAGCAGGCTTTCTTTTTCATGTTTTTGCCTGTTCCTTTGAAGTGATTGAGACACCACAGATGGCAGCTGTTGCATTGCATTGGATTTACATAGGAAGTCTGGGGGGAGGTGGAGATTTCAGGGCTGGCCTCTTGTAAGGAGAGACCTGAGGCTGCCCCTCTGTCAGAGGGAGCCAATTCCAGCTAGTGCCACAGCCAAGTGAGTCAGTGATGCCAGTGGTGCTTCTGTGAGAAGATATTTAAGAAAGGGTTAAAAATACAGTGTAACACAATGTAGCTGTGAGAGGGAGGCAATAAAGAAGAAAAATGAGAGAGAAGCAACCCCTCAGAGACAGCAGGATCAGTGAAGAAGGAAGTGGGAGGAGGTGTGCTAGGCATGGGAGCAGAGATTTCCCTGCAGCCAATGGAGAAGGTCATGGTTAAGCAGGTTGTCCTTCTTGAACCCATGGAGATCCACAGTGGGACAGATCCACCCTGCAGCCCGTGGAGGATCCCGTGACAGAGGAAGTGGATCTGCCTTGAGGAAAGCTGCAGCTCTGGAGAGTCCCCTCGAGCAGGCTCCTGGCAGGAACTGCAGCCTGCAGAGAGAAGCCTACGCAGAAGCTGGTTTTGTGGCAGGAGCTGCAGCTCGTGGGGGACCCATGGTGGATGAGTCTGTTGTTTAAGCTCTACCTTGTGGGGACAACCACACTGGAGCAGTGTGTGAAGAACTGTATCCTGTGGGGCAGACATGCTGGGGCAGGAAAGAGGTGTGAAAAGGGAGGAGTGGCAGAAACACAGTGTTATGAACTGATGATGGCCCCCATCCCACTGTGCTCTTCAGAGTGGAAGAGAGGGGAATGAAGCAGTAAAGCTGAGCTTTGGGAAGAAGGTGGCTTTAGTGTCTTTCTTTCTCATCATCCTGCTCCATTTCTAATGGGCAGTAAATTAAATGAATCCTCCCTAGGCTGAGTCTGTTTTGCCCATGATAGTAGTGGGTGAGTGATCTTGTCTTTATCTCAAGCCAGGAGCTTCTCCATCTTATTTTCTCTTCCTGTCCTGTTGAGGAGGGGGGAGTGAAAGAGTGGCTTAGTGAGCATCTGGCAGCCAGTGAAGCTTAAACCCCCACATGCATAAATATTCCTGTGTCTAAGAACTTCAGATTTCAGCTTTTCTACCATGTCTTTGCTGTCTCCAGCAAAATGACAATGGAAACCATTTTACAACCTATTAGTCTTCTGTTTTGGAGACTGTTGATCTGTGGTTGATTTAATTAGGTCTTAGGTCTCAACTGGTTTTCATAAGAAGTAATGCTTAATGCTTGGCTGAGGGGGAGCCTTTTCTTTCCCAGCTAATCTGCCTGAGCACAGAAACAGCAGAGTGAGTACATGTGATACATTGATGTGTAGTTGCTAACTGCATGGGAATTTGTGTATGTAGCTCTAGGAAAAACATAGGATCTTTTAATGAGTGATTTTCATAATCTTTAGTAAATGAAAATTATGTGTTCATCTAATTTATTCACTTCAAGCTTCCCTAGAATTTTTTACTTTGTAGCACTTTCAACTAAAAGTCTAAGTCAAATTCCAAAAACATTTAGTTCATTTTGAGAAATACTTAGAAATAACAGAAATCTAAAATTTGGAAACTATTTATGCTTCATTAAAAAGAAAACAACAGTTAACTTTACTCTTAATGTGCCATTAAATGTCAGTGACTTCAGGATCTCATAGCAGGCACTGGATTCACTCCCTATCATTCCTGCTGCCTCCAGTGTGCTTTCTCTGGCAGGTGCACTTCAGGAATGATGTAGTGTGGAATGAGTATCTCCTAACTAAAAGAAGTTGTATCAAATTTCTGCTACTTAAAAAGCATTTTTTTCCTTTAAAGAATAAGAGTATTTCTCTAAAAGAATACCAGAGTATCCATTGTCTAAGTAGTAGCTTTGTTTTTGCACCTGGATTTTGCTATGTATTTTTCAGTTACAGGAATATTACAGAGTAACTATCATACACTATTTCTGAAATCATGAAACATTTTTGCAGTTATTTATAAGAATATGTTGTGTTTTGGGGAAACCAGTGCTGCCCTTAAGTCTGTTGTTATAAGGAGTCCTGAGTGAGGAGCCTTGGGAAGTTCATTGTGAATTCTTCTTTCGCTGGAACTATAGATTGAATACATTTGAGGAAAAAGTTAGTAAAAGGAAGCAAACTTCCCCCCCACCAACCCAGTCTTGGTTGGTTGAGGAATTATTTGGTCTGCTTGTGTCAGTCTGTACATGCTGTAGAGGCATCTGAAACAGCAATAACACTATCTAGAAAGTGTGTGAGTCCAGTGGGAATTATACTTCCTATTGTGCCTTTTTCCAGGACAGTTGCTGGTTTTGGCCCCAGAGAAATCAATATTTCAGCATAAAAGCATGAAGGGACACGGTATAATTACATGTTCAAGTTCTAATGATATGCAAGTCCCAAAACTACTGCAAAAAAATATGTTAGAGTGCATGTGGTGGTGAATCCAGTCAGGGTTGAGTAGACATGAATGCCTGAGTGCCATGGGAAGGAAGTAGCAAATGGCTCCTAAAACAAAGAGGCAAAATCAGATCTTAGTTTTAAGAGCTGATAGAATGGGTTGGTTATGTTTACATGTGTTTTGTACCGAAATATGTTTTGTGAGATGCTAGAAATGTGTAGGAACTCCTGTTATTCCATTGTGACAGGCTCAGAAAATTGCAGAGCATCGACGAAAGTATGAGCGGAAGCGTGAAGAAAAGGAAATCAAGGAAAGAATGGAAAGAGTGAAGAAGGCACGCGAGGAGCATGAGAAAGCACAAAGGGTGAATATTCAGGCTTTAGTATTTCTTAATGATTTGGAGAGTGTTAATTTTGGTTAAAATTAGTTACAGAGGAAAAAATATTTTAAATGTAAGTTTTAAATCTTAGAGAGTTGGTTTCTGTCTTGGATACTTAACCAGTAATGAAATCTGGAGAAGAGGGCATTTGAGTTCGTCTGGTTTTATTGCTTGTGACAAAAACAGTCTCTGGAATCTCTACTAATCCTGTATTTCAAGAAGTCAGTTGTTGTGTGACTGTTCCAAAATAGCTTTCACTTAAAGTACTTATGTATCCCAGAGTGGGAGATTTTAAAATCAGAATAATACTTTGCTTCTCTTCCTCAATTCCTGGCACAGATCCTTTTTTTTTTTTTTTTTTTTTTTTTTTTTGTGCTTTAATGATGTATTTTAATATGTGGGGGGTGGTAGATCTAAAAATACAGTTGAGGAGCTAAAACAAATCATACACTTTGTGTTCAGTAGAGACGTAACCTGCATAACTAACCTGCAGTCATGTACAAAATTAAGAATAGACAGAGCAATTTCTTGTCAGTGGCTTTGAAGATAGTAGAGTGCTTTGTTTCTTATGATGGCATGTCTGCCTGAAACAGTCTCGGCTGTTTTTTTTTCTCCTAAGCCCAGTTGAGCAGTAGAAAACAGGCTGCAGTTCCATTGTTTTGTGTGGAATGATGTGCTTTCATCTGCAGGAGGAAGAAGCAAGACGACAGGCAGGAGGAGCTCAGTTTGGTGGCTTCCCAGGTGGCTTCCCAGGTATTTTATTTTTAAGCACAAACACTTGAGGTAGAGGTGGTTGTTGTTTCCATATGGAGTATTATAACTGCAGTTTTTCTAGCTTTTGTTCTCAAGACAGAGAAAAACCTTATGTGAAGTTTAGAACTTGTATACAAATAACTCTTGGAGCACTTGTGGTAAGAGGGATGGGATTGTTTTCTCCTGAAGAGGATTGATGCTGTGTAGCAAGGAGAGGGAAGACAGAAGTCAATAATTAAAGAATAACAGAATGAAATTATTTAGGTCTGGGAAAACAAAAGAAGCAGAATTTGTTGATAATGTGTTTAAAAATGAGTATAAAAATGTTTTCTAAATTACTTAGGGTGCCTTGAATCCATTTAAGAGCAATAGTTTTAAAGTTGAAAATTTGGATTGAACATGAGGGAAATCTGTGCTGGTTGCAAGCTGTTGTTAACAGCACAGTTTTTTAAAGGAGGTAGTGCAGATTACCTTACAGAAAAGTTATCCTTGACAGCTTCACAAAAATTAGGCTTTCCATGTTATACAATGAACTGGGGAGAAACAAAAGTGCTGATGGTCTTGAAGACTGAGATGTAGTTGAGAGTTGAGATAGGCTGTGTGTGTGCTCCAACTGGATCAGCAGCCAGATAGAGACCCTATGTGTCATGCTCAGCACAGCTGGGGAAGCTGCAGAATAAGGATTCCATTAGAGAACTTCAAGCATTTTGCTTCAGGGATGTTTTTCTTGGGGTTTTGTTGGAGTTTTTTCCCATTGGTGGTACAATTTTTCAAAACCTAAAGTTCCTGCCAAATGTGGAATATGCCTGGGACATAATACTGAGCTGCTTCTGCCCTAAATTGTTTACCCCAGGCATTCAAACTCCTTATGCTTCTGAGCTTGAGACCTGCCTCATTTTAGTTAATCAGGAAAAGAGTTGTACTCATTACAAGCGTTCTATTCAATTGGTTTAAAAACGTGGATGAAATAAGATGTAGGTCTTAACAGAAAGGAAAGGTGAAGACCCTGCTTTCCATCCAGTGGGCCAGCTGTAGCCATATGGAAGACGTGGCTTTAGAGATGTGGCAAGGGCAGTAAGTCTTGGTCTCAGTGAGCATAATTACAGTATGGGTGAGTTGAACATTTTTCTTGTGTTGGATTTTCAGGTGGCTTTCCTGGGGCTGCAGGCATGCCAGGAATGGCAGGTATGCCAGGCCTCAATGAGATCCTCAGTGATCCAGAAGTTCTTGCGGCCATGCAGGTGAGTATTTGTTAAAGTCAAAGCTACATGTTCCAAATGAGGGAAGAGCAGCCCTATGAGCCTGAGGGGAGAAAGGAAGATGTGACCTTTTGGCTAGCAATGGGGTGCTTGGTTATTTCTGTTGTAAAATTCTTTCCTGATGTGTGTGACACCAGACTGTCTGGATTAAATGTTAGCTGTTTTGCAAACTAATGGAAGCTTGATTAAAGATGACACACAAACCCTGCCCCCTGTCTATGATAAGCAAAATTTTGCTATATGCAGTTGTCATCTGTCTCTTTTGAGAAAGTCTCTCAAATGGTCCTTTTTCACACATTATAATTCACTTGCTCATTTTTTGAATGCACACACTTTGTAGAAGGATAATTATGCACAAACAAAAAAAATTGATAATATTTTTCATACACAATATATTATAATAATATTGTGATGAGAATTTTCTTTCTCTTAGGAGATTAAATGTTTGAGGTTTTGCCATAGACAAAGTATTATTAGAATAGTTCTTCATCTGGCATTTTCTGAAATCATACTCAGAAAGCTTACTTCCCTGGTGGGTTTGATTAGTTGCTCAATGTCATAACTACTTCTACTCAAGAGAAGTATTTCAACAGATTAAAGGGAACATGTCTGACAACACCATTTTAAGGGCAGGTGCGCTAGAAAAAGTCAGAGCTATGTAGTTACATTTGCATTCTAATATGATTAAGTACAAAACTGTCTTGTTTCTTTTTTCTGGATTGCTGTGAGTGGAGTGACATATTGTCCTCAGCTCATTGAAATGAAGGCATCACAAAGGAAGCTTATTCAGTATGCCCTAGAATCACAAAAAAATCATCACTTTCCATGCAAAAGTTCATGGGTTTGTTCCCTTCATGGTTGCTGATGTTGGAAAACACACCTTTACTTAGGCTTCAGCAGTCAGCAGTGTTGGCTTGCATGCAAGCTATGCAGAAAGGGCCCTTGATTGTAGCTGTCTTCCTTACCTGGCTACTTCCTGCTCTAACACTGGAGTTTGTGATGAGAGGTTGCTGAAAACAGTGTTGAGGTGCGGCTAAATATGAAGTGCTTGTCACGTGCCCTTAAGAAAACTCCATGCATGCTGATTACATATGCCCCAGCACAGGGCAGGACTCTTGCAAGGATGTGTGTTGACAGTGTTTTCTGCTTTATTAGTGTTTTCTGATAGGCAGGCTTTAGCATGTTCAGCTATCTAGATATGATTTATTAGAACTTGATCTATGTCTACACTGCCACCTTTTCCTAAAAAGTTCAACTCTGCTTTCTGGTCTTTTCTGAATTGGCCATGTAAGCTGTAATTTGAAAAGACAGTAGTTTCTACTGCTTGGCATCTGCCCAGTGCAGCTATGGAATGTGTTAATGGATAATGTAAGTTGGCAGCTATTATGTCATCTGAGGTAACAAAACAGTCTGAACATACTGAATCACACAAGTCGCTCCAAAATTGCTTTGTAACTGTTAGTCTGTAGAAGCTTCTTGTAGTGAGGAGTTAGTGCCAAAATGGGAGTATTTTAAGAGTAAAGGCTACTACCTCAGTCTCTTTAGACTTGCTATGATTTCATCATTTTGGAGACTATTCTCCATGAGTTAACACTGAAATGTGCCTGAGTCTTGTAACATCTCAGTAAACCTGACAACTGTGAGTGCCTGAAGACAAGCCAGATTAAACTGATTTTACTGTTAACTTCATCTTGGCATCCATAGAAGCAAACAAAGAACCAGCTGTGTGGCTGCTTGTCGACATGTTTAGGGGAGTTATTGCTTGTCATTGGCATAAATCTTACCTGGTCTAGGTGACCCTGCCTGAGCTGGGGTGTTGGCCTAGATGATCTCCAGAGGTCCCTTCCAGCCCTAACAATTCTGTGATTTTGTGATCTCTGCAAACCACTATAAAAACTTCTTTCTTGAGGAAGATTTATGGTTCCATTACCTGAAGATTTATTTCTTCAAGACCTTTTTTTCTCAAAGCAGCAAAACTTCTCTTGCATTTCTTTTCACAGCTTCTTAATGGTAGCAAGCTGTGACTTTTTGCAGTGACTTCTAATACATGCTTTTTTAGCTCATTTGCCCCTAAGCTTTCTAGTCTCCAGAAGAATTGACTGAAATTTTAGTGTGTTTTATTTTACTGTTTTGTCTATGTGGAGGGTTGTCTAGTACTTCATATCTTGTATATACAGCTGCTTTCTCTAGACATCTGCATTTTGGAGTCAAATAGAAGTTCTTTCTATAAGAAGTGGTGTGTAAGATGAACGTATGGATTCTTTATTTGACATGTAGCCATATGTTAGACACAGACTTCCAACAAAATGTGTTAAGTTGGAAAAAAAAAAGTAGTGATAACCTCTTTCTTGGAAGTATTACTTTTACCTCTGCAAATAAAGACCAGAGCATTAGAAAATTGAATGTCTCCAATAGAATGGCTACCATTCCACCTTATTCACTAAACATTTCCCTACAGAAATGGTGATATCCTCAGTCTTCCACTTTATTTTGGTAATATTGCTCATCACTGTCAAACCTTGGGTGTTATAAGCACTCTCTAAGGTTGAGAGCTTCCAGGGAGTCACAAAAATACAGAATCATTTACTTGCTGTGAATTTATAGGAAAATGAAACACATAGCATAAAACTGGATATTTAACATTCATTTAGGAGTGCTTTGACACAAACTAGTGACTAAGGTTACTCTGCTTTTTGTTCCACATTCATATATAAGTGAAACCACAGACTTAACAACATGACAATCTTTATAATCATATGCCCTATTTTGAAATCAATTAAAAAACTCTGAGGTTGTGAAAGTCTGCCTTTTTTTCTTTGCATGGGAATCCTGTAAAGTGGAGGGAATGTATCTAATCTCTCTTTTCTGAACTTCAGCATTCTCTTTTCCATATACTTTGCAGATTATCTTTTGTGAGGGAGACAGCACATTTGTAAATCCTCCCATAAGACTGGACTCTTGGTTCCCAACATGTAGAAAATATGACTGAGGTGTGTGGGTGCTTCCAGTAGAGTCCACACCTACCAAATGCAGTTTAGGATCAGACTGGTTAAACAGCTTTGGACTGAGTCTGATGCTGGAATAGATACAGGATGGTGTTATTGTAGCACAGACAGCTCTGAGCACACTGGTTATGTGGTGATGATTTCCAAAGAACATGCCTGCTGTAGCAGTGGGTTAGAAGTCTAGGAAGCAGTGTCTTTTGGTAAAAATACTTAAATGTCCTAGAAAGAGCAGCAGATGAAACTAAGCTAACATCTGTGATTTGTATTGAACATAATAAACTGCTTACACTTTTGTTGAATTAAAGAAAATTGGAATTTTTTGTAGATACTGGTATAATGGAAACAGTTTTCCAGGCTGAGGTGTGAAAGTGTTACATACAGAGTCATTATGTTCAAAACATACACAGGTAAAACAAGTAAAACCGGTTCAAGTTTGGTGGAGGCCAAAGGTATGCTAGAAGTATGGGAAAAAGGAATTAATGCTTCTCATACTAAATAAAGAAAATGGAGTTATTTTTTTGGGCACTGACTTTATTGAATATGTGGATGTATTTATCAACTGCAACACAGTAGTGTGATGAAAGATATCAAGGTTCTTTTCCAAGCGTGAATTCTCAGTTGAGGTGAGGAATGACTGAGAAATAGATGCATTTTAAAAGCCAAACATTGCCACATTGTCTGCTCACAACCCAACAGTTTCAGGCTTCTGCTGCTAGAATGAAAAAATGAGAAAAGGATGAGAATCAGCTGTTGCTCAGAGTAGAGCTATCCTATCACACATGCTACACACATCAAACTCCTACCTCATTCAAAATGCATTTGAAAGATGCCTGAACCGAAATAATGCAATAGGTGTGGCTGTGTTTGATAGCTCCTGTTCTGGGAAAACAGAAGTCTTACCTGATTCCCCTTCTCACACACTGAACTATTAGTGTAACAAATTCAGTAATGACTCTGCTGTTTAGTGACGCAGCTTTAACAGCATGCACTGTATTATTGGGTGTCTTTAGAGACTTCTTGCCAGAAGTCTAATGTAGTCTTGTCATTTAAAAGCTGAGCAAGACTAGATTTACATGGAACTACATAATCGCTATTGTAGAGTTGTTTTACAAATGCCCTAATTTTTTTTTTCTTTTTGTTCTGCAGGATCCAGAAGTTATGGTTGCATTCCAAGATGTTGCCCAGAATCCAGCAAATATGTCCAAGTACCAGAGCAATCCCAAGGTCATGAATCTCATCAGTAAATTGTCTGCCAAATTTGGCAGTAAACCATAAAATCCCTGGTTCTTAAAAATCATATCTGAATGGCAAGGATTGGATTTGGCTAACCAGTGTTGCAATAAAATAAACCATTTTACCTCTGATCTTCTTAAGAAGAGAAATGGGGTGTTCTAAGGAGAACTGCTCTCTAGCCCCAGGTATTGACTTTATTCAAATATTGGTTTGTAGAACTCAAATTATATTCAGATGACCTAGTTTTCAACCATCCCTTCTTGTCCAACAGTTGCAGCCTTTCATTGTAAGTATTACAGACAGTTTTCTCTGGATTAATGTTCTTATAACAAATAGTAGTATTCCAGGAGTATAAGATAAAAACATGCTATTTTTTTTTTTTTTTTTTTTTTTTAAAAAAAAAAAAAATTTCTTTTTTTTTTTTTTTTTTTTTTTTTTTTTTTTTTTTTTTTCTTTTTTTTTTTTTGTTGCTCTCACTGAGCAATGGGGAAAGAACTTTAAGAACTGAAGTCTGTCTTAATCCCCCTTAGGGCAGAAAAATAGCAAAGGTGGGACAAGTCTGAAGAATTAACTGGATAAAGGAATTGTCTGCAAATACAACTTTTTTTTTTATGGGTGATAGACTTTTTAAAGCTATTATCAGTATAATCAGGCTAGCTAGTTACACACTGGAACTTCTGGCAGTACTGCAAATACTATATAATTTTGATCACCACAACTGTGCAGCAAAGGTACAGTTCTACCCTTTGCACAACCTGGCATGAAGTACATATTGCTGAGGCACAGATGTCTTGTTACTTGTTCAGTTCTTGTCCAGCACCTTTACGTAACATTTTATTTATCAGTCTGGGAATGGGAGAGCAGCTTCCTGTCTGTGCTTGTGCTCTTGTCCTTTCCCAGTTGGCAGGCCCTCTGCCGGCTGCACTCACCCTTCCTTGGGGCCATGCTTACCGGGTTGCATCTATTTGGAAACTTTAGGGAAGGAATCTTGTTCCCATCACTACCTCTGTCCCACTGAATGCAAGCCATCCAGAACATGTACATGCAGAGTTACAGATTGGTGAAGGGGAGAATACCCAACAAAATTGCACCTCTGGGTTCTGAATCGGTTTGGGTTCTTACACGCTCACTGATTAAAATTTCTTGGTCAAAGTCCTGCTGTCTCTGTAGAGGTGATGACTCTTTCTTCACCACATTCTGTAGTCTTCCATCTTTTCTTGTAGCCTCTTGTTTAAAAAAAAAAATCTGTTGTTGTGGTTTCATACCTCCATGGTTTTGAGGTTTGTGATACAGAGGAGAAGGTGAAGTAATTGGAACAGACAGAACATTCTTCTAACACATGCATTTATCAGCATGGGTATCTTTGATGCAGTGTCTGTCCTGATGATGTTCAGTGGATTTGGCTACCAATAAAGACAGTTGTTGCTTCTGTTTGTCTTGGCTAAAACATCTTTATGTGGAAAAAATTACCATAGTTACCTGTTCACCTCTTGAATTTCGAGGTTTGTGTTACTCTTTTGTAATTCTGTATCTTGAGCCATAACTGATGTTACCATTTTTAAACAAATGTGGTTTGATGTAGGAAGTCAACAGCAGTTGCAAGAAAGTAAATCCCCAAATGCTTTTTCTCCTACTAATGACCCTGCACAATTAAATGTGAATCTTTTTGCTTAAGAAATACAGTTCTGAATACTTCTCTTAGCCTTTAAAAATAAAGTATGGTTTTGAAAAACACAGCTTTTTGGGTTTGTGTAACTTTCTGATAAAAACTATTTTGCTTAAATTAAAAGTGGATGTGCTTTATTCAAACTGTATATACAACTTGTGTTTTAATTTGGAACAAAATGCCTAAGGGCTCGTCTTCATGACCGAATGAACTCAAATTACAATTGTGTGTTGCTGTGTGCATGGTTTTTGGTCATAGTCTTGATTTCCCATTCCCAAGAGGAGATATTTGAAGTAAATCACCCCTCAATATAGGCTAAATCTTGACTTCTGCATTCAGGCTAGTGCATATGTGTTGTGCACAAATTAGAGTATCTTGAATATAGATTTATTCCCTACAGTTTCCTGTTATTCCAACTTGGCTGCTTGTGTCTGTCTTCCCATGGGTAGTCAAAAGTAGGAAATTACTCCTGCCTAATAGGAGTGGTCATATCTGTGTCCTGCCTGCTTGCTTACACATCAGTTGCCCTTACTGAGAGTTGATTGATTCTATAAAAGCATTCTCTCTCATTTTGATGTTGGCTTTAGGAGTTTAGCTGAATTCTTGTTCTTTGGGAGTACACATCCTATGACTCCCTTGGTGTGTGAGCTTTTCTTGGTTTTAGTGTTACTCAGCAAGTAAATTGATGAGCTGTCTGGACCCCATCTCAGTTCCCCAAGTTGGTCTGTGGACATCTAAGCAGCTAAACTGGTTTGAACAGAAGTACAAGTGCAGAAAGCTAACTGCACAAGAGATGAGCAAAGACAGGAAGTTCCAAATGTGGGGTGTAAGCTAAATGAGGAAGTTGTTATTTTGATTGGTTGCTCCTGTATTTACTGGCAGATCCCTCAGGTTATTTGTTCTGTTGGAGCTTTGAGTAGGGGTGGTTGTTGTAAGTGCAGTAGCAATAATCAGCTCTGCTGGCAGTTTGTCTCTGAAAGCTGCAAGAGCAGCTGGGGCAGAGTGCTGCCAGTCCTGCCCCTGGCTCAGGTGTGCCTTCCTGCCTTGTGCACAAGTCCTGTACTGAGCTGTTTGGCTGATCCCATGCCCAGATTCAATGACCAGGCTGCCCAGGAGTGCTGTGATGTACCTGCAGCTGACTGTTAGCAGAGGCTCATAGCCTTGTTCCTGTGTGAGTCCCAGTGACTTGAATGTCCTCTGTGGTTCAGCTGCTGCCCCAAGGGAAAGCAAGTGTCAGCTCAATTGCCACATCCAGGCTGTTCCCATTCACAGGGAGTCCTTTTGCATAGTAATGTGGAAAATGCAAAGCTTGGTGCCTTTACCAGAAATTTTTGGAAATTTTCTCTCCCTTCATTGTGGTACTTGTTGAGGTGGCTTGGTTTGTCTTTGTGGGAAGGCAGTGACTGGAGGAGTAGGAGCCAGACTCTCAAAGTTGGATGAAGGCAGATGGGACAAAGCTAGACAGAGCAGTGATAGGCCACAGGAGAATGAGTCATGAGGATTAAAAAGCCACATAAAGGTAAAGCCATGTTACAGAAACAGTTTTTTGCAAGTACTACATGTAGTTTAAAATATGTCTTTAAATGCCACCTTGTTTTTCTTATGTGTGACTTTTAGGGCTTTTGTATAAAGCTCATACTCTTGCATATGCCTGTACATCCCTCTTCTGTGGAATGGAAGAGGAAATAAGATTGTTATGGGAGCTCATGGCACCTGCTGTCCAAGCAGAATCCTTCACCCATATGGATGGGAGGTTCTGGACACAGCCAGGGGAGCTGGAGCCAGGTTAGCCTTGGCCTCTTTGAAATCCCCCAGGGCAGGTAGGCTGAGGGATGCTAGTGGCAGAGGCTGGAGGATTGTTTCCTGTTTGCCCCAGGGCAGTCTGGCCTGGCAGTTACTGGTACTGACAATGGTTGGTAACCTGGGGCTGGAGAGTGGCTCACTAGGAAAACAGTAGCAGTGTTTTCTTCTGATGCCTAGAGAAAGGTGTCCTGTGAAACGTATTCAGAGCTCTGCAGAGGTGGGCCTCAACCTTGCTTCACACATGATGGAGTGAGGGCAGCATTGTAAGAAAGTAATTCTGGATTACCAAAGAGCTGAAGTGGAATAAAAAATGGTGGTGTCCAATTGAATGCAGACACCTCCATGTTCAGTACCACAACACAAATCATAGGAGGTCAGTAGTGATATAAGAAAATGCAAATACAGAGGAAGCAGGAACAGTTTTAATGTGGCAAATAAATGAAGCAGATCAGGTGCTTGCTGGTAGATCGTACTATGGAGCAAGAAAAAATAAATTTAAGTGACAAGTCACTGATCACTTTGTGATTCAAAGCTTGGTACATCATACTCACTTGATGTGACCCTCACAAGCAGGAACTTCACACAAGACAAACCTTTCCTTGTCCCTACTGACTGGAGGTCCCAGAGAATGTAAATACTGAGGACTCTCCTGTAAAGCTGAATCTTAATGACTAACCAAATCCAGATGTTCATTTGTAATTTTGCTAACAAACTGTTACTACTGTATATGTCTGCTGTACAAACACACTTTCGAGAGCTGTATCCTAGATGTATGATCTCAGACAAACTTGAGATCTTATCAATAAATAAATAAATGTATTTGCAGAATGTGTTACATCTCTTTTTGTTAAGTGGATTACAACTTTGACACCTTTGTTGTTGCATGGGATTTTTTTTTAATGTATAAACATTTATTTCAGAGCCTACAAGGAATGAGAATTGCTACTGTATGTAAAGAAATATGAAGGATTACAGGGTTTAGGTTAGCAGTTTATCTTACCTTTTCTTCCTGAAGTACAGCAGCTGCAGCAGTTCAGATGGTACACATAATTTTCAGGGAACAAAGGTATCCAGAAAAACAAGGTACTTATTACTCAAGTGTCAAGTAAGTAACAAAGAGGTGAGGTCTAAAGCAGGTAATAGTAAATTGAATTCCATTATTGAAACATTTAATTTTCTAACATTCTCACTGGTGGGTAAGAGTTCTAGAAATGAGTTGAATTTGCATTTGACATTTCAGAAGGAAAAGTATCATATCTGAAATCATGTAACAACCAGCACACTGTTCAATAAAATTAGCTTTTAAATGGGCTGAAGATAGAATTTTTTAGCAAATCATCAAAAATAGATGGAAAAATATCAGAGTACTATATTGAGAGTGAAGTGTCGGAGCTGCAGCCAGTTGCACTACCTCTCATCAGAGAAAATTCATTCTGATGTTTAGCTACTAGTGTCTAGCTCTTATTTGGAAGAGAAAACCACCTGTGCTTTCTTATTTCAGATTTTTTAAAAATTGGTCTAAAATATGGATTGCTGTTAAGAGTGTATAAGGAAAAATTAACACAACTGTTCTACAAGATGATTTGCCCTCACACTTTCTTGTGTGTTATCCTACAATGAGGAAAGGTTCTTGAAAAAGAAAAGGTTTTTCAGAAGCCATTTTATAATCTGGCACATTTTTTCCATTTTTTCTCTAGTCTCTTGTGTGAAAACTTTTCAAATCAAATAAAGCAAGATTCTTAACTGGAATTAATCACCAGCCTTTACAAAAAAAAAAAAAAAAACCAAAAAAAACAGAAAGATGTACATTTAGAACAGATGTTAGACATTTATCAAGTGTCTGAGAGAAAAAGCAAGATCAAGGCAACAAAAATTTGTGTTTGACAATTACTTAGACTAAGTAAACCTAAAGGTGGCTGAGGGACATTAGGTCTAGTTAAGTTGAGCAAGTACTATGATAGCAGATTAAATGTAATAATCATTACATTTAATGCAAGTAATTAAAAGAAAAAAAAAAAAAAAAAAAAAAACCAACTTTTATGATATCCCTGGACCTAGATAAAGTGCATCATTGCAGAGGCTCAGTCAAAATTGGTTCATGCAAAGTTCACACACATGTGCTTTTTAATACGTGTGTGATTACAATGCTTGCCTCTGGAAGAGGCTGGTTTTACCTTGGCCTTTATACCTAAGCCTGATCTTGACAAGTTGGTGTGACCAAATTGCTCTATTTAATTAATTCAAATTGTCAGCACACGCAATCTCATTTGTTAATCTCTAGTTGCTTTTATCTATGATGTACTGGGAGTATGATCCAGTTTATCCACCTTCTCTGAGAGATAAAGTTTTGCAACAGATTCACAAAGTAATTTTGAAAGTAGTAATTAAATTCTGTCATTCTGTCTTGACATGTTTGGAGTCTCTAATGAATTGAATTTCTGGGCAAAAATAAAGGAGATATGTATTTCTAATTTTTTAAAAAATTATTGTTAGAATATGGAGAGTACAAGGGTAGAAATAGTTTAAGTTCAGAGTTCATTCTTTACTTGCGAAGGTAGGACACAGTGCAGAGGCAGTAAGTTTGACCTCTGGAGTCACCAACAGTATCCTCATTCCTTGTCATGAATCAGAAACAAAGTTTGGGTCAGCCAAAGAAAATCCATCAAGAGTAAAGTTTCTCAAGATTGATTACCTCCCTGTACAGGAACCTGCAGAATTTCACAAGCAAGAAATGACAAAGATGTCATTTTCAGATGTCAGTTCACTTCTTCCAGGCTTTCCAGTAGAATTGACAGATTTGAGGAAAGGTAGGTGGTTTGGGCTGTCTGTCCTTCCTTAAACCCCACTTGTGCATGTTATGTGTTTGCCTGGTGGATTTGTGGCATTTATGTGAAGCCCTTAAGGCCATGTCTTCAGGAAACCTTTTATGTAGATGGCTTTATGCAGGTTTCTAGGTACCTGCCTTTTGTTTTCCCTTGGTGGAATACAAGGCATTAAATTTAACTTAATCTATAGCATGCCCTCATATTTCTTGGACAGCTTTGCTAGGTCTGTATGTTCCAACAATAAAGTAAGTTGCTTTTAGAATATTGCAGTTGTTGTGTTACCTGTTAATACTCTGTTTTGCAATATATACAGGGCATAGTGTTGTATTAAGAATATTGCTAAATACAGTAGAAATAGGGTAGAATTATTTGGGTGTACATTTATGATGGAATTCCAGTCTGCAGTACAAACTGACTCTTTGTTGAAAGCTTCCCTTCACACAAGGGGGACAAACCCACAAAGAACAGCAGTAATGGCAGTCTGTGTCTTGTTTGAGGCATTCCTCCCAAAAGCTCGTGGACCTGATTGTTCGGTCACTTTTTGCATAATTGTTCCCTGGATTTGTAAAGCTGCTCCTGCCTGCTTTAGTGACAGGAGATAGCCAGTGACCTGTGTACACCTTAATTCTAAAGGCCTGAGTCTTTTTTACGTAGGAGTGTGTCACAGGTGAGTTAGTAAGAGTGTATCAAGGTGGGTGTAACTAAAATCATTTTATTAATGATTAAATAATGATCAAAGATAATTAATTGACACCTAAATGAAAAGTGAATGATAGAATTGTTATTAAGCAATAATTGAACAGTAATTAAACAGTGATTTAACAATGTTTTAATTGTTTAAACAATAATTTACACTGGTCAAACTACTACTTACTGTACATCTAATAATTAAGCTATAGCTAGATTTATAAAAGCTGCAGCAAGTATACAATATACTTTAAGACTTAATGTAAAATGTCACTTTCCTCATGATAGATCTCAGATGTTTGGTATGGGGCTCTTTCAACCTCGAGCATTAACCTTAAGAGCCACCCCTGTCTGAGGGGGACATCCTTGCTGAGCAGCCTGCTACTGTACAGGAGAGCCCAAGGGGCTCACGGGGGCTACAGGCATTTCTTTAGAGGTTAAACTGACTGACTGTTAGTCAGAGCCCTTTTTGGTGTATGTGCAGGTGTGCACCTGTAGCAGTTTCAGTTCTGGCTAGTACCAGCCCAAGCTGGTGCTGATCTGATAAGAGAGGCCTGAACTCTTTGTTCCTGGATAAAATACGGCTTAGGATGATTCTCAGGGTTTGCACTGCAGGGATGATTTCAGTCAGGTCTCTTAGGTTGCTGGTATCAGCATCTAAAATCTGAGTACTGGGAAATTATTTTTCTCCAACTGAAACACTTGCATTAGGCAGAGTAGCCTGTGTTCTTTATACTTGCTCTCCCTCAGAGAAAATAATGGGATTTTTCTCACAGAAGGGTAGAGACATGGGGTGTGTTAACAGCCACCTGATGAAGGAACATCTCAAAAGGGAATGGCTTACCCAATTGTGTGATAGAAACTCTTGGGAAGAGTGTAATGTTACAACTGCCCTGTCCTTGTTTAAGTAATGGGTGGTGTGGTGATTCCTACCACAGATGTAAGCACTAGGAGCTCTTGCAGTTCAAACGAGAGGCAGCTAGGGAGTTGAGGCTGAAGGACTAGGAATTGCAATTATGAAGAAAAAATTATGAAATTCTTTCTTTCAGAAAGAGAGAACAAGATATGATGGAGTAACAATAGAAACCAAAGAGCCCAGGAGTAACATGATACAAAGCTAAAGAGAATATTAATTCCTATCTTTAATTACAGTCTTTTTCTGCTGCATAGGTGAAACTAACAAAAGGGGAGTGATTATAGTATAAGACATGAGAATGGCAAAAACCCCAGTAGGATATGAATAGACATGGGGATCATCTCCCAAGTGCTCTTATGAATTGGGGCATGTCCAAACTCATTTAATTTCCTCAGCTCCTTCCTACATGTGGAACCTCTCCTACCTCAGTTTAAAAGGAGGCTGTAGGATTATTGATATTTTCCCAAACCGTGTGTCTGGTAGCCTTGTCTCTGTGTGCCCTAACTGCAGTGAGCCACAGCTCCCCTGTGCGTTGGCCAGCTCCTTGTGTCTGCTGCTGTCTTGCTGGGACTTCTCACTCCACCCTCAGCTACCACAGGAGATGTTCTGTTTGTAGCACTGTGCTTCAGCTGCAGGCTCTCAGCATGATAGCAAAGGAGGAGCAAGGGCTTGCAGACTAGGAAAAAGAGTAAACAAAACAGAATAATAGAATTGTTTAGTTTGGAAAAGACTTCTTAGTTTGAGTCCAACCACAAATCCAGCACTGCCACATCGACGGCTAAACCATATCCCCAAGTGCAATATCTACATGTCTTGTAAATACCTCTGGGGGTAGTGACTCAACCACTTCCCTGGACAGCCTGTTCTAGTGCTGGCTAACGCCTTCATTAAAGAATTTCTTCCTAATATCCAGTATAAACCTCCCCTGGTGAACTTGAAGCTCTTCATTCCTGTACCTTCTTTTCTGGGAGAAGAGGCCAACCCCCACCTTGCTACAATGTCCTTTAAGGTGTAGAGTGCAGTAAGAGCCTCCCAGGGGTCCTTTTCTCCAAGTGTTTGAAAATGCATCAGACTTGATTGGTCCACATGGAATAAGAAGAAACTGTTGTCTTGAAAAAGTGTTACTGAGAAGATACTGGACTTCAGGTAGGTAGAAGGGACTGTAGTTAGCAAAAAGCAAAATCAGAATGTGAAGTTCAGTATTGCTTCCTCATTGTAATTAAATGTTAATTAAATAAGAGCAGCTTATGTTAAATGTTTGCGAAAGAGAATCACAGAATCACAAAATGAGTCATGTTGAAAAGGGACCACAGTGGGTCATCTGGTCCAGCCTCCCTGTTTGAACAGGGTCATCCCGGAGCATATGATGGGGCTTAAAAAAAAAAGAAAAAAAAGCACTATTGCTGTTAAATATGGCACAGGATTGTGTCCAGAGAGTTCTCGAACATCTCCAGTGAGGGAGATTCCACAACCTCTCTGGGCAATCTGTTCCAGTGCGTGGTCACTTCATAGCAAAGAAATTCTTCCTCATACTCAGGTAGAACTTCTGTGCATCACCCTCTGCCCGTTGTCCTTTGCTCTTGTCCTATTGCTGGGCACCACCGAGAGGAGCCTGCATCCCTGCTCTCACCGCCCTCCCTTCAGGGGCTGATAGCCACTGATGAGGTCCCCTCTCGGCGGCCTCTCCTCGAAGAGAAGCGAAGCTGCTAGAGAAGAGAAAAGGCGCTATCGTAGTCACAGAGGAAGGAACAAGAACGCATTTCGGGGGTACCCCGATGTTGGATTTTCCCGAGAATCCCCACGAACGATCCCAGTCTCCCCCGCCGGTTCCCCCGGTCCCGGGGCGGGGCCGCGGGCGCACGTGACAGGGCGGGTGCCATGGCGGGCGCGGGGGCGGCGCGCGGCAGCCCAGAGCTGGCCGGGGCCGCGGGGCCGCCGGGCCGGGCGGAGCAGCAGCAGCAGCAGCCGCAGCCGAGAGCCGCCGCGATGTCGTCCGTCGCCTCCTACGAGAGCCTGGTGCACGCCGTGTCCGGCGCCGTGGTGAGCGAGCGGGCCGGCGGGGGGCCCGGGGCCCGGCGGGCGGAGCGGCCGTGCCCGCCTGGCGGGGGGCGCGGGCCGCCGGCTGCCTTTGTTCGGCCGGGACGGGCCGGGGAACCGGCGCGGGGCTTGGCCAGGCTGGGGACCGGCGCCGGGCCTGAGCAGCCGGAGCCGCCTCTGAGCCAGCGGGAGCTGCAGGGAGCTGCCCCTCAGCCGGAGCTGGGCATCCCTTGAGCGGTGAAAATCTAAGCTCGGGCAGAGGGGCAGCGCCTCAGCTGTAAGTGCATCGTCCTCCTGCCACGGCCTCGTAAGTGCTGAGGAGCTGCCAGCGTGAGGCAGCGCATAGGCGCTAATCAAAATGTAAAGCGAGCGCAGTGCAGCCGGAGGAGGTTTGTGTCCATTACTGAATTTAATTTTCCATGTGGCGCTTGTAAATTAAAAAGTCGCATTTAATTTATGTAGATTTCCTAGTGTGCCCAGCCCTTGAATTTTTCCTTTCAGAGTGCTAGCTCTAAATAGTAAATCAGCCTTCTGCTTCCAAGAGATTAAGAATTTTGGTGCCTGTACTATGTTGGATAGGGCGTGCTGATGGATAGAAAGAACTCCTCGTGTCTGCTATAGGATGAAGGTTGCTAAATGTCATTGAAAGATAAACATTGGAACAGGCTGCCCAGGGAGGCCATGGAGTCTCTCTGTCTGGGGACATTCACACCCCACCTGGATGCATTCCTGTGTCACCTGCTCTGGGTGACACTGCTTTGGTGGGGGGGGTTAGACTGGGTCATCTCCAGGGGTTCCTTCCAACCCTGACAATTCAGTGTTTCTGCTACAAAGGCTAATTCTAAAAGGAAAAACAAGGCTTTAAGGGATGTTTTGGTTTTATTATAAATAAACACAAGATTTTTGTCTGCTCTTTAAATTGTTTCAAGTCTGCTTACTTAAACATCAAAGGCAGTGGGGATTTTGTTTCCACTTTCAAAAAGTGGAGCTTTCTCAAATGATCTCATTATTGAAATACTACCCATTTCCCTTCTGCTGGCTTCTGCAGAAGTCAGTGATACTTTTTAGACTTTGCTGTTAGCTTCTCCCTTCAAATACAGATTGCTGTAGTCAGGCTGTGCCCTTGAAGAGAGTTTGTGGTGTGAACCAAGCTTATAAATCCAGCCATAGACTCAGAACTGTGTTGAGCTAAGGCATGAGAAGCACGTGTCAGACCGCAACATGATAACTTTTATTTGTATTCTTATATACTGGAAGCTGATCTACCTTCTAGGCAACCTAGTCAAATTTGAGATGAAGGAATAGTTTTGTGAACAGTAAAAAAAAACCCCAAAAGCAGCACAAAACAGTGCTTGATTTCCTGTGAACTTTAATTGAATTACATAAGTGTTCTTTAACTCTGCATGTAGCTACAACATAATCTTCCTGTTGCAAAAGCTGTAGGGGTGAGAATTTTATGGGAGTATTAAAGAGCAGTCAGGCTGCTTCATTGGCTGAAAAATAGCAATCAAACTTTTTTATATGTTTTACTTTTTTTTGTTATTACTATTATTTATCAAGCTTCAGGCTGTGGTCCTGCGCACATCTTTTGGCAGCAGTCACCTCAGGCCATTTGTTCTGGCCACCTCTTGGCTACTGCACAGTTATTTATCTGGTGCTGTGACTGGTCAGCGAACTGATGTGACTGAAGAAGTAGCCCAGTGGAAAAAGTGGTTTTTCAGCCAGATTCGTTTCTGTGTCTGCATCATTGTGTAGGTGCCCAGAAAGTTATGCTGCCAGATTGGAGGAGGCAGGGGTGCAAATACAGTTGACCAAGAGCCTGGGATTACACGAGCCAGTCCGTACCTGTCCCTGTGATTATTCAGTGCTAATGTGACTTGGCAACCTGCCGAGATCCAGTGCTGACAGGGCGGTGTGGGAAGGCTGACAGTGAAGCCTCACCCTTCCAGCAGTGCAGGGTAATACATGGCAGCAGCTGTTCTGCACTCACTAGTATAATTGTACCTGCTGGTCTCAATGCAGTTTAGCAAGGAATTTGAATCCCTCTTGAGGGCTTTTGTTGTTGGGGAAAGGACTGGTCCTGCTTATCTCTCTTTTCATTTCTTCTAGCCATGAAATTCTCTCTCTTCCATATGATGCTTCTGGCAGCCTCCTCATCATGTAGTTGAGTTGTTCCATTTGTAAACCCAGGAGAAAAGTAACTTTGGCTTTTCTATTTCCCTCAATTTGGCAAAATAAGGAGAGAGGGTACAAATTGGTTTTTATGTTCAATGATTTGTTAGGTGAGTTTAGTTATCTCATGGCATTCTCTTGAACTATAGTTCCATGTAAGTTTTAAGCCAGTTTGGCAGTCAAGCACTGGAACAGGCTGCTGAGAGAGGTGGTCAGTGCCCCATGCCTGTCAGGGTTTAAGAGGAATTTGGGAAATGCACTTAATGTGGGGTGGGGGCATCAGGACTGGGTGATCATTGCAGGTCCTTTCCGACTGAAATGGACTATTCTGTGTCTTGTGGCCACACATCCATTGTGTCCTGTGTGACACTACCCGACTATTTCCTCATTTCCATTTTCTAATTTTGAGTGCAGGTGTGTGTGTGTGTTGCTGCTGCATGGTGCATTGCATTGAGACTGGGATCCAGGATAAATCTCACTTTGGGAGGATGGAAGCAGGGGAAGGCTGGAAGTTGTAGTGACTGTGCAGTCTTGTTCTGTGCGTAGGTGTAACTGCGTTTTGAGGCTGTCTTCAAAATTGCAGTAATGCAGCTCCCATTTGGAGGAGCATTATGGCTCTTTCTGGCACTTTTTTTGTGCTGGCACTAACCTTCTAAATGAGATATACTTTTTAGAAATAGTCAGTCAAATGGGTTCATTAATCCACTTGCTGTCCAGCTGGGTACATGGTAGGTGAGAATAATACAACACAGGACAAGTACGTGGGAGAGCAGAATGAACTGTTTTGGCAAGAGCCCAAACTAAATGGGTTAAAATAACCAGGTAATTGTGGCCAAGTCTTACGTATGCTACCTGGTGTTAAAAAACTGGAGAAACTTAAGTCTGGTTAAGGCTTCAACCCAGAACTGTTTTAGTGTGCAAACACCACCAGAAAGTTAATCCTCTGTTGCTGGTTATAGAGCTAGGTCCGAGCAGCCTGCTGAGAAGCTGGAGTATTTCCAGAAGCAAAGCTCACTTAAGTGTATGGCATAAGACAGCTGTAGAAAAGCTCAAGTCACACTGTGCACTGTAGTTTAAACGCAGCATTGAGTGACTTGCTGTATCCCAGACCTTCCCACCATTTAAACAGTTTGCACAGCTGCTAATAGAAGAGGTGCCACAGCTTTAGCAGCAACCTGATGCATGGAAAACACATTTACACTGAGCCAGGGCCTTTTTGAGGCTAATAGGAAGTAGAGAAAGTTCAGTGTTTATTTTCTGATGCCACTACTTTGCCATCAACTTTCAGGCTTCAAAAACTTTCTCTTTTGGCCATAAGCTTTTAATGGTTTTTATTGTAGCTTGATCTAATGCAAGAGAAAAATAACCCTCATTTGTAAGTCTGGGACAAAAAAATTGTTGTGTGGGGTTTATCCCCTTTTTAAACTTACTCAGCAGACTGATTTGTGGGTGAGAAGTGAAGGGTTACAAAGAGTCTAGCAGGCACTGTATAAGCAACTGATACACTATACAGCCAGTTTATTTTGTTTTTCAGGGCAGTATGACTGCAATGACTGTATTTTTTCCTTTGGATACAGCTAGGCTTAGACTTCAGGGTAAGTGTCAAAATTTAGTTTCTTTGTACAATGGCATTTCTGTTCATCTTGGCCTGGGCATTTGTAAGGGTGGTTGTAGAGGGGGTGTTTTACATGAACAGGAGTCTTGCTTGTGTCACTGTAACACTGTTTTTCCAGCTGAAGGAAATTCTTCCTTTTGAAAGTTGGGCAACATTTTAATTAGCTGAAAAGGCTGTGTGCTCTGTGGCTTTTAAATGATTATCTAAGACCAAAGACAAAAACAAAGATGTGAGATTGCACAGGATTATATTTGTGCATTGTTGTTTTTGTCTGCTGAGAACACTTCAAAATGCAGGGGCAGTATAATGAAAAACAGGTCTGGAATTATTCCAGAGGATGTTTTAAAGGGAAAAGTCAGGGTTAGAATTGGGATTAAGAATATCCAATATTTACAGAAATGCATCTGGGATATAAACTGTGTTGTTCTAAAACTCTGTCCTCTAATCAAGAGTCACAGACTCAGCAAGCATTTCAGAACTATGACAAAAGCTCTGTTAAGAACTGGAGGCAGATTATCAGCCAGGTCGTCAGAAGTATGTGGCTGAGAAATGAATAGCTTTCAGTGCAGGAAGAGACTGCTTTGCTAAGGCTTAGCTGTTTGCAGATGAGCTGTAGGAGATTGCTCTGCTGCTGGTGCTAGTCTGCTGTCTAAGGCATAATTTTGAGAGCAGCTAGGCAGGCCCAATTCTAGCCCTCTGCCTAAGGGGAACCTACTTTCAGTTCGTGTTGCAACTATTATGAACTTGTGATTATAGATACTCTGGAGCTCAGCAGAACCTGTCAGTCTGAGGAAGAATAAAAAAAGGAAGTAGTCTTACCTAGCAAATGAAAATAAGGAGAAATGGAGTATTCCTATCCTTTATGAGGCAGAAGAAACATGTGCTTGTAGGGTATATTCAGAATTGCAAGGATAAGGACTTGAAAAAGAGTGCTAAAAATTTGAATAATCTAAAAGTTTGATTGTTTTGCTTTCCAGTTGATGAGAAGCGGAAGTCAAAGACAACACCGGCTGTCCTTTTGGAAATTATCAAAGAAGAAGGCCTGTGAGTGGATACTGATTTTCTGTTTGTCTTCTTGTAGACAAGCTCTAAAACTAATTTGAATATGCTTTTAAAGTGGAACACTTAGCATGTATCTGTGTGGACAGATTTTTATTCCAAATTGAAATGTCTCCACACAAGTGTAATATGACTTGCATAATCTTATATGTTCATCTTTAGCTAACTAAGATTAACTTTCTTGAGCACCTTATGCAATTGATCTGTTCAGTGATGTAACTGTGCCTTCATTAGTGATGTAGCTGTGCCTCCTCAGAAATGCAAATGTACCTTCATATACCTGATCAACCAGCTTTGTCTGCCTGGATTCTTGGGTGTGTCAATTTCTCAATAACCAAGATGAAACTCCTGGACAACTGAGCCACTTTCAAGAGAACTGAGACATGTTTCCCAGTTGGAAGGTTTTTATCTGCTCCTAAGCATGTAGAAGAAAACAACACATGACACTTTATGCTGCTGGGATTCAACATCTGTCTAAAAGCAGTTAACTTTCAGCTGTGCTGTGCTTTAGTATTTGTCATAGTCTGAGCTGAGCTGGCTGGGAAAAAGTTTTATGCCTGTCCTTGTTAGAAGTATTTTCCTAACAGAATCCCTGGAATTCCTAAGTAGACTAGCGTTTCCAGGACATTAAAGCTGACAAAAGTTTAACTTGGCCCGTAATGCTGTGTCACCTTTGAACTTGGGCAGATGTATGCATGAGGAGTTCTCTGCCAGCTGATCTGTCTTGTTCACATTCCCACATTACCTCTGTCACATGAGGGTGGCAAGTAAACTTCAATTAAAAAAAAGAAAAAAGAAAAAAGTGAAAAAGAAAAATGACGTAGTTAACCGAGGTGGAAAGACTGCAAAAGTGGTCATCCTACTTTGCCTATGAAAGAGAAAAATCAGTAGCTCTGGCAAAAGAGCAACATTGCTTCTTCCAAAGGTATTGGGAAGGCCTAGCAAAGCAATGGTACTAATTTAGAGAAGTGTCTGAAGCAACAAAAAAAGTCCAAACAACAACTAATCTGAAATATGATGTGAGATCATAAACATCTTGTTCACATTAGCTTGTAGAGTCTTGTCTCATTACCATAATTTTGTGAGGCTGCTTCTCTTGTCTAGATAAAGCAAATAGGTTGAGCTAAAGGACTTCCTGCAGAAGTTTATCAAACAGCTCTCTTCCCTGCACTTCCATCCTTTTCTAAGTGATCTGAAAGGTATTCACTAGTGTACACCAAGTTTTTCTCAAGATTGCAATAAATTGTGGATGCTACTACTGACAAGTAATTAAATAAACTCATGGGTTTTGTTTTAGTTTCATGTTTTGTACTACAAATTTGAAAATCATCAGAAATCATTCTTAATAAATGAACCAAGCCCAAACTAATACTCAGTTAGAGGACATAATCCCTAGAGGATGTTTCTGTCTTTCTTTTCCAGCACAGGAGAGATAGGTAATGTAGGAATTGTTTTAATTTGGCTTATGAACAACTGCCTAATCTGTTAATTGGTAACTGTATGGTTGGCTAAGCCTGTAGCTTCAGAAGCAGTTGTAACAATAAGGTGTATTCCCAGCTACATGGGAGGGAGAAGCACTCGATGGATTTGAGATGAAAAAGTAGCATTTACATTTTAAGAGAAGTCAGATATGGTGTTTACCAGCCTTGCATCTTTTACAGTCTTATTGGAGATCCTTAAATTCTACATACTCCCAGTATTTAATGAATCCTAAAGAGCCTCCATAGTTACTGCTGTTGGGGTGATTTTTTATGCTTTTAATATGATATTGGCTCTCTACCTGTTCTGTGCAACTCCAGTGAAGGTGTGTATCATTATCTTTTTTTGAATGTGTTGTAGAACATGTTGGGAATGTAGGACAGCTGTTGAAGTGTCCCTGTTTTACAGGATCATCAGGCCTGTCAGAGAAGGGAGCTTTGTTAGGCAGATGTTATGAAATCATTCCTAAATCAAGATGGGTTTAGATGATATTCAGGTTTTTTGTCTGTGATTAATCTAGTTAAATTTAACTAGGTAATGTCTTTTTCTTACTTACCTGACTGATTTGCCCTAGATTTTACAGTAAGGCATTTGTTAGAAATTCTTCCCACCTGTGTATCTTCTGTCCCCAGGTTGCATCCTTTGCCAAACTCTCCTAGGAGCAGTATATGAATTTCAGTAACTAGTCTTCAATTTTTAGATTTTGTGTGAGAATCCAGATACTTTTTTTCCTTACTCAGGAGTTAAGTATGGTTTGTTACCATTGCTGATAAAGACATATCTAAGTAGTACTTCCTGTAGTGTACAGCATTGTCTCTCTGAGATCCTCCACCAACACATAAAATCAGCCAGATCACATAAATACTTTGCTGATTCTTACTGTGACTTTTTGCTCTCCATTAGGTTGGCACCATATCGAGGATGGTTCCCTGTTATCTCCAGCCTTTGCTGCTCCAATTTTGTTTATTTTTATACATTTAATAGTCTTAAAGCCCTCTGGGTCAAAGGTCAGCATTCGACCACTGGAAAAGACTTGGTTCTTGGGGTTGTTGCAGGTAAAACTTTAAAGTCTCCATTTTGTCAAGAATGTACTTTTGGTATATTCTATCTAATTATCTTCTTTATGAAGTCCTTTGGAGGCCACACTGAGTGCTCACCCCTCCCACTGTAGACCTGCTTCTTTCTGATTGCTCCTCTGTGTCATCCCTGCCTCCGAAGAAGATGCATAAACCATTCCTGTTGTAAATTCTGGCACAAAACACAGTGCTCTTGTGGCTTAGGATGATATTTGAGTCTGATGTGGTGCTTACCAGGTATCTAAGCATCAGCACTAAGATGCTGAAGACAAGTGTCAGGGAGAGGTGATAGCTGAGGTTTTTTCAGGGGAAAAGATATATGCCAATTTTGAAATAATTTCAATTATGGTAAGAAATTTTAATGAAAGCATTTGGGTTCAGTCAGTTTTCAGACTTGGTTTTGGGTTGTCACCTGAAAGTGACAGGAAGTCCCTAGATTAATGCAGTTCCAGTGGGACCATATGTTCTTTTTTATTCTATCCTCTTACGTGGATGCTGCAGTGCCTTCTTTGAAGGGATGATAACATTAGTGACTTCCCTAGCACACCCAGTGTGAAAAGTTACCACTGTGGGCTTTGTGTATGCCAGTGATATTCTTCAGGGACTATTGCTCATGCAAATGCATAGAATCAAGCTGTTTGAAAAAAAAACCAACCTGTAAAAAAGACCCCTGGGTTTGGGGTTTTTTTTTTGGGGGGCGGTTGGGGAGCAGTTGGTAGTTTCTTACAGTTTCAGTGTAGGTATAATGACTGTCTGAATAGCTGGTGGAAGTAAGGAAGGAAATTCTTTAGCTGGCTATATGTCTGTGGTAAAATTCCATGTGAATATATTTTGGAACAAAGGCTACAGGAATTAGGGTACGAATTACCATTTACTTTTCCCATACGCTGTGTTAGTTTTATTACTTACTCCTACCAGAAATTTCAGTAGCATGTGAATCAGGGGGAGAAAAGGGGATAAGAAAACATTTGAAATCTTCTTTTTCATGCTGATTTTCTTTGTGCTGTGTTTTGCATTAGGAGTAGTGAATGTTCTCTTGACCACCCCTCTCTGGGTAGTGAACACACGCCTGAAGCTGCAGGGAGCAAAATTCAGAAATGAAGACATTGTACCAACCAATTACAGAGGTATAATAGGTAAGCACCTGTTGTTGTCTTCAGCCAAAGAGAAGTTCATGAAATGAAATGTGTCAAGGACTTCAAAGACTTTAGTTCATGTAACTGATTTCACCCTGTAATCTCCATTCTACTGTCACTTTGCAGTCATGGAGTTTTACAGGAAACTGGACTTGGCTATTTGTGATGGTAGTTAAAGAGTTTGCAGTGTGCACTCCTGTAACTAAAATACCTTTTGCAAGGGCAGGTATGTTATCATACAGATAATGGAGCAGTAGTGAGCCCCATGAAGTGGTAGCTGGGAGTCTGAATCTGGACAGACAGTCTGAAAATTAAACTTCACTCACCTTAGTCTCTTAATCACTCACGTGTTCAGGCTGTCCTCCTTTTAAAACCAGCCAACCAAATAAACATTACTGTTATTTTGAAGAAGGTTTGGAAGACCTTAATGTGAATGCCACACTTGTTAAAAAAAAAAAAAAAAAGGAGGGGGCTGCTTGTGCAGATGATAAGTTTTGTTTATGTTAATGGTGGTGCAAACAAGAACCTCCTTTGTCACTACCTTTCTGTTAACTTCTGGATTAAAATGGAAGTTAAAAATGCTTACATAAAGGACTGCAGTTGATTTTTATACGCTTTGAGTATTAGGCTTTAAGAGTAATTTCTCATATTTTTTATATTCAGAGTTTTGTACTCAAAATGTTAATAATTTTTTTTTTTCACCTTTTGTTACAGATGCTTTTCATCAAATAGTACGAGATGAAGGAGTCTTAGCTCTGTGGAATGGCACTTTCCCCTCCTTGCTGCTGGTCTTCAATCCTGCCATACAGTTTATGTTTTATGAAGGCTTTAAACGAAAGCTTTTGAAAAAGCAGCTGCAAGTGAGTATGCTTTGAAGCCAGGTGATGAACATGCTCTGTTACAAGACAGGTTTCTGATATGCATCATTTCAACAAATTCAGAATGTGGATTTGGTTTTGGTTCTTGTATTTTCAACTGGTTTTTTGAATTAGTTTGTCAAAAAAGGGTTCAGCATCATAAAATGAGATGGGAATCTTTCATGTACCTAGGGAAGAGATTCCTGTAATAAATTCTTCTACCTGTAAAAATAGAACTGAACCTGTTATCCACATTTGCTTGCATATGTTCACAGGTCTTGATTTAAAGTAGAGATTTCAATTCTAATGTATCTTTTATAAGTATTTACATACTAACTGTTTTGAAGTCTGTTTTAAACTATTTTTGCAGTAAATAATAACCTTTTTTTTTTTCTTGAAGACCTCAATATTTTAATATAATTTTTCCAAGGATGGACACTAGAATTAAACATAGCATTGCAACCAAACCTTCCTGATTTACTAAATAGAAGTACAATCACTTTTCTGTCCCTGCTTTATACTGCTCTTCTTTTTCCTTATTATTTTTCCTTGTCTATATCAGATATAGAATCTCAGCTGAACTCATGTTCCTTTTATGTTCCAGCAAACTGGAAAGCGTTTGTATTACATTTTCAGATAATGTCATAACATAATATATCTTTAGGATGCTTTGCTGTTAATTTGTGATTTTAGAATGTTAGGTCATACCAGTATGTTACCAAGCCATCTTGTTTTTCCCCAAGACATAGTGAGATTATTTTTACATGAAATTTTGCATCATCAATGAGGCTTGGGTTTTTTAGTGTCTTTAGTTAATACTGCAGCTGTAGCACCCCTTTTGTACCTAATGGATCTACTCTGTTACATTATGCACATTTTTTGAATGATGAGCTTAGCTTCCATCCACATTGTTATTTTCTTGTTGGCTAACAATATACTTATGCATTTATTACATAAATATGTTTCTTTTAAAAGAAACACATTTATGTAATAAATACATAAATAAGTATGTTGTTTCTTTTAAATTACTTAGTTCCACCTTAAAGTAGGGCATTTCTTTGTTCATGATCAGTGAAGAGGGGGTATAATTTTTTTTTTTTTTCAGCTAGGAATGATTTTGAAAAGTTTTATTTTGAAAAACATTTTTCTTCCTATTTGGTCATTTCCTGGTTGTCCTAAATATATCAGGTTGACCTTTTTAAAGATGTGCATGTGTGAGTGTATTTTTGATTGCAATCAACATATTTTAGAATATGTTTTGAGTGTGTTTTGATATGGGCATCTACTTATGTTCAGTGATTAATTCACACTGTTAGACTGAGATGCACAGTGATCAGCGTAGGCTGTAACAATGTATTTGGTGCATCCTGGAGCAGTGTGAGCTTTGGAGCTGAGCGTGGGCTTCAGCAGGGGTTTTTAACTAAAAGGGAGTGAGATTTTTAGCCTATAGAATCAAGATTAAAATTCTGCCTGGGAGTGTAGTGATTGTGTCTCAGGAATATAGAGTGATGTTCAAGGAATCTGTCACTGTCACCTTTTTACAAGCACCATGTGACTTTTCTGTTTCACTGTTGCAAAAACTGAGATGCTTATTGATTGATGTTATGTTTAAATGATACTTCCTTATCTTTTGTCTACTCTTGGTGCTTTGAAGTGGTCTAATTGTGTGGCTTTATATCAACTGTGTTTTAGTAGTCTAGTTATATTGAGGAATGCAAAAACAGGTGGAATTTACAAATAAACTTAAGATGTGGGAAAGTCAATTAATTGAACCATGACCAACTCTTTAAAATGAGAAGACCCTGAGATTTCATGAAATCTTTATGCCAAAGATCCTTAGATAATCTGGTAGCAGGTACCAGTACAGAATTCCCAAATACAAATGGGCTGTTTTGGTACTATGTGGAAGTAAATTTGTTCTTTATCTATTGAACAGCTCACATCTTTGGATGCTTTTGTCATTGGTGCAATAGCCAAAGCAGTTGCCACCACCCTCACTTATCCTCTGCAGACAGTACAGTCAATTCTACGGGTAAGTAATCATTTCATTTCATTTCAACTCTGCCTCTGACATGGTCTGTATCATGCAAGCCTTGTTCACATATCTTGTTTTTATTTGTGTTAATGGACCCATTGTTTTGGGAGGCATTTTTCCCAGTGCAAGTCACTGATTAGAATGGATTTCCTCTTTGGTTTTGACTGAGCTTGGTGTACTGGTGCACATTGTTTCAAGTAGCTGGTAGGATCACCAGTGTATGGTATTGGTACAGTATCCCACAGAAGCTGATGCACTGAACTGCTTTTAGGCACTACCAAAATGTACATTTACTTCTTGGAATATAAATGGAAAATGTGTCAAGTGGGAAGTTAAAATTAAATCTTCTAAAACCAGTCTGTTTCCAGATGACCTATGGTAATAAAAAAATAAAAAAAAATTCTATTCATAGGTTTTGTTGTTCAGATGGTGGTCTGACCTTGTCAGTGTCCAGAATGTGATTCATCTGGGGAAGCTGAGCTCCCTCATAAATAATACCTTTAACCACTTGCTGGCCATATGTAGGCTAATTGTAGTGGTAATGGAAACACTTGCATTTATTCTGACTTGCAATTTGTACATAGGCTGGATAATGCTGCTGCCTTCAGAGTGTACCAATATTGTTGTAATGTTGACACAAGACAAAACTGGGGAGTAGGAGGGAAGGAGACCTGGCCATGTGTAAGCATATTGTACTTTAATTTGTGTGTTTTAAACTCTGTAACAGTTAAATATTAATAAGTGAAATATATTTTCCTAAGTAAGGAGGAGCCTTTACTTGCCTGTACAGTAAAGCCATTGTGTATGTTCTAAAACTTGGACAAATGTGGAGAATGAGTTGAATTACTGAAAACAAGCCTTCCATGCTAAGAGTATCACTTTTCAGACCTCTCTAATAAGGGAATTTTCATGTTAATTGTTATCTGGAAAAAGTCATTTTCAAGCAAGTTTTGTACTAATTTGTAACTCTAATTAGAGTGTAATAAATATATCTTGATTTCTCGTAACCTGTAAAAAGATAGTTAGGATGCTGTATTTCAAAGCAAGAGGGCTTGAATATACTTATTGTGTAACTTTGTCAGCAGTCATCTTTTCTGAAGTTTTCATAATTTTTGATCAGCTGAACTAGTGCTTTCTTTCAATGCCTTATACTGTTTTAACAGCCTGGGCACATCTCAGTAGTAGCTAAACTAATAACAGACTTCTGTTACTGGAGTGGCAGATACAGAAAAACATTTAAGCAAAAATAGCTCTGTTTGGATAAGTTGCAACATCAGTCTGTTTTTAATTTGTGGTGCTCCTGTTTCCTCCTGGTGTGAAGGAGAGCTGGAAGGAAAGTTGGAGTGCTCTGTTTTAGCATTGCACAGCAGTGCAGGTTACGTGGGGCTGCAGCCACAGTTTCAGCTCTCCTTCTTTTCATGGTTCCTAGAGAAGTGGTTACAGTCTTGAGGCTTTGTGTCTTTTCTGTCTCCATTTAGCTTTTTGAACAAAATTCTTCTGACTTTTAATGACAGTGTAAAAAATAATAATTAAAAAAAACACCAAAAAACAACAAAACAAAAATACAGTGCCAGTCCATCTCCCTGTGATGATGGGGAGCACAAGGACCCTCTCTCTAGTTCTGCAGTGACTGGGGGTGACTTCTGTCTCTGCTCTGTGAAAAAGTAGCCAGGAGCCCTGAACACATCTGTCAAGGACAGCAGAAATGTGTGGCTGTGACATCTGTGCTGTCCAGTTCAGACTTGCTCTATTTTGTGATGTGTTTTCTAATCTGAAGTTGGCATTGTTCTAGTTGATGAAGTTCTTGTCACTCACACTATGTGATTTAAAAAAAAAGGTTATGAGTAAAGGCTTAGTATTTCCAGAACTAATATTCTACATGAAAAAAAAAAAAAAAAAAAAAAGTTGCAGGTGTTTTTTAAAACAATTTTAGCAGATTTGCACACAAACTAATATAAGCTCAATATAATTAATATAAACTTAAACGTCATGACTAATTTCTGTCATCAAACTAGTACAGGACTTTTTTTTTTTTTTTTTTTAACCTTCAGCCTTTAGAAGCTTACTCTTTTTTGGAACTTGTTAGGGCTTTTTGTAATAAAGTCTCTACACCTTTGCTTTCAACTCTTTGGCACAGTTTTCTTCTTACTGTCATATAATGAACAGTTATCCTGTGTAATTGACAGTGATAGCAGCTTCCAGCTTTGCCATTTGGTATGTCCTTCTCCCAGTTATTAAAACTGTGACACTGGTGTTACTCATTGTGCAGTGAAACTGTTCTTTAGCCTGTGTAAGCTTATGTCAGTAAAGAGCACATAAATTTGCCTCTGGAGGTACTGCAATACCATTGGTGTTCTCAGTGATCCCTGATGAAAAAGTTCTCTTTAAAATGGAAGTATTTTTTTCTCTTTCATAGAGAATGCTAACCCCTTTGGGAAGTCTTCTGCAGTAAACACTGAAGTGTTAACATCTATTGTTGGTTGGGGATCTGTGTACAAAACACAAATGAGACAGGACTGCTGAGGAACGCACCTTGAGCTGTTTATTTTCCAGCATCAGTCTCATTACATGGCTATGACAATGGCAAGATGCTAGCAGCTCACATCCTTGGCAGCAGACAAAGAACTTAATGTTACAACTTACTTTAAAAGTTTTTTGACCAATCACACAAAGCAAAAGCATATTGATTTTAAATATGCTTTTCCAAAAGCATATTTAAAAGCATATTGATTTTAAACATGCTTTCCCAAAACCCTCTGATTTTAAGGATTCCCACAACATCCTAGTGAAAAAGTAATGATTTTCTTCTTTGTTAGTGACCCTTTGTTTGTAGTATAAAAATTGTCCAGTGGTGGAGAAAAGAGGAGAATGAGGCCTAATGGTGGTGTAGTGTGGAAGCCTGTGAGTAATCTGGGCAGTGACTGACACTAGCTTGGAACCTAGTTAGCAATTTTTGGGGGGTATGTCTGAGTCTGTGACAATAGTTCTTAACATTGATTTGTCAATACCAAATGGGTAGTTGCTGTTGAGAAGATTGTGGGTTTTGAGTGCATATTGACCTAATAACAGGAGATTTCCACTAGCATTCTGTTGCTGCTGTTTCCCCTCAAGTCATTAAAACACATAGTAAAGGAACCTGTATCATCCTAACATTCTCTTAAAATTCCTGAGCTGCCTAAATCAGGTGGCATACTTAACCTACTGTCAATGGTAATTTCTTGCATGTAAGAAATAGCAGTTGCCTCGACATGTTCTGGGAAAAAACTGATCCAACATGCAGTTGCTCAAGTTCACCTTTCTTAGCACAGAAGCTTGATACAGTCTTCAAAGCTATTAGGCTGTGCTGTTACAAATTCAAGTGTGCAACTCTTGTAAATTAATAATTCATAGTTACAGCTTGCTGGCAGTACTATCAACCTGTATCAGATAAAAGTATCAATGAATGCTAGAAAAGGAGTTGCTGAAATTGCTAGTTTAATTCTACAGCAGCAGCTATCATGCTTACTGAAAACCAGCTTGGGGATAAGCAAGTGTAGTGAGTTAAAAATAAATATCATTTAGGCCAAGTAGGTAGATGAAACAATTCTGATTTCTTCCACAGCAGTTCACACATAAGTGCTCCAAGACCATTGCTGGGCAGATAAATTTTGTGTTCGACTATGCAGTCTCAATGGAGTAATGTAGACCTGCAGATGTGTGAGGGTCTGAATCTTTGTGAAGTGAAAGTGAGAAAGCCAAAAAGAACTTGCTTTGAGTGTCATATCCCTACTAAGACTCTTCAAATTATGCTATTGAGATCTTGAAAACTGCTTCCCCCAGACCAACTGGGGGAAGAGAAAGGAAATATTTCTTAGAATCCATTCTAAAACCAAACTAAATTACAGTAGTATGTACAGTTTTAATGTTTGCAGTGTGAGCTTTGGCCTCTGTTCTCTGCTGGTAGTTATGTAATGTGGAAAATGTTTAGAGGTTTAGGGTAGGCTCTCCAGATTTCATGCATGTATGATGTTCTCTGCCAAGCACAGTGGGGAAATAGTACAGCAAAATATTCTTCCTTTTTTTCAGTTTGGACGTCACAGGTTGAACCCAGAGAACCGAACACTGGGCAGTCTTAGAAATGTTCTTTACCTTCTTCAACAGAGAGTGAGGTGAGCTTTCCCATTTTATTTATCCTACCATGATAGAGAAGACTTGAATATTACTAATATTTTGAAAATGTTGCTGGGTCTGGATTTTGTTTCCTTTTCCTCCCTTAAACTTGACATTTGAGTTAACCTGTTTTTTGTAATAAATTGTAGAATAAGCCCATAAACCCAAATTCTCCTAAATGTCTGTACAGTAAGTGACATCAAGGATACATATGGATGCTAATTCATTTTACCTCTCAAATTGAAAAGAAGCAGGTTTATTGCACAAAAGACCTTAAATTTCTGCAGATTTTTTTTCTTTAAAATATTATTAAACACAGCTGGCTCAAGGTCACGAATGGGTTTAAGGTTCCTACAGTTGGTTATTAAGTTGTCATATTGACTCCTCTTTGTACTGATTTACTTACAGAAAGCTATTCATGCTTGTTTTCTTGTTTGTTGTTTTTCTCCTCCTTAGGCGTTTTGGATTGGTGGGACTCTACAAAGGCCTTGAAGCAAAGCTCCTGCAGACAGTCCTTACTGCTGCTCTTATGTTTCTGGTGTATGAGAAACTGACTGCAGCAACCTTCACAGTCATGGGATTAAAGCACTCGCGCAGACATTGAGGAGGAACCTATGCCAAAGATTCTGGGGTCTAGAAAACACATTCCATTTCTGAGACCTGGCTGGGTAAACAAAGGGTCCTCGCTTTCTCTGCTTCTCTTTTTAGCCACCTTTACCTCCAGTATTTGGAGAAATCTGGAATATGCTCTATAGGACCTGTTGCCACGAATTCAGGGATAGCCTATTCCCTATTGTTCTGTGTACTCACTGTGTTAAGAAAAAAACCAGAGACCTTATTTAAACACTTGACATGAAATTTAAACTATTACGTGATTTGGTTGATACTCTTGGCAAGAATGATTATCTCTAACTATGCTTTCTTCTTTGCCCTCAAATTGTCCTCAACTATTCTTGTATCTTTATCTTCTGTCAGCAGCTGGTGGGGCTGGTTTTGTGTTATTTTCCTTGACCTGTGTTTGTCACTTCATATTCGGTTCATTAAAATAATTAATAAAGAATAACATTTTTGGCATGGTTTTCTTTTACCTGCAAGTATGTTTGTGGCACAGGATCTGATGTTGCCCCAGATACCTGGTGGTGAGGTCTCTGAACTGCTGGAATGGATATTACAAGTGAATGTGCAGTCGGTCTTCTTGAATCCAGCTATTTTGAATCTTGAAAATTTTGAATGCAGATACTGCCTATATATGAGGAAGATAACCTCTTGCTTTTTCAAGCTGAGTCATTCAAGCTGCCTCAAGAAAATGGGCTTGCTACAGAAATACGTGAAGTTTTGTGACCCTATTCTTTGTGAGAATATGTGAATTCACACCATGTTCTTATGTAGACAGGGGGCACTGCTTCAGAAGTGTTATGCCTGCTCAAAAATGTGCTTTATTTATTTTTCCACTGATATTCCCAGACCATAAAGCCTAAAATGTGTATGCTCTAACATGTGTATGTTCTTTTTGCATAGTTTTGGTCAGTATTCCTAGACCCTAAGGTCCAAATTAAATTGTGCTCTGTCAGTTGTTAAGTTGGCAGTAGGATTGTTCTGAAGAACAGTTTTCTATTTCAAGTACGGAAAAATTTCATGGCAGTTTTAACACCAGGAATGTCTAGAAGGAGGAGAAGGCTTGAATGCTGCAGGAAATATGTTACTGAATTGCAAAATGGCACCTGTTTCTGGAGTCTGAATTGAGTCAATTTTAAGATTTAAATTGTAAAATAATTCTGCAGATAATATCTTTTGAACAAGAATAAATACCCTCTTTGAAGTGTATTGAGACTGTCTATGCAAGTAGAATGCCCTTAATTCAATGCTGGTTGACTTTCAGTCCAAGTAGGATTTACATAGACAAGTAAGAATAAAAAAGTGCAGTGAGCTGTAATTATACCGATTGGAAAAGAATGAATCACAATTCTGAAAATTTCAGTGAAAATACTTTTTTTTACTGAAATGAGGTGCCCTGTGGAAAGGTAGTCTGCTGTCTTTTGGGTGTTTTTAATCAGAAATTTGGAATCGTAGTATGGCTCTTGATAAGTTACCTCACCTCGAAATTCCTGCTGTCAGAATCATTGTGGGGAAGCAGAGTGGTTCTCGTGCCAGCCTGGCTGAAGTCTGTGTGGCTGCCAGGAGCTGGAGTTCAGCTCCTCGAACCTTTCTGCTCTGTGGCATGAAGGAGCAATTCCTGCACAAGTATTTTTCTGGTTGCTCTACCTATAAGAAGAAAGTAAATGCTAGCTAGCATTTACTAGCCAAAAAATACTTGTCTACATGCCAGTGTGGATTCAAAGGGATAAAGTATTTCCTTTTTGCAAAAAGCTGAATACAGAAGCCCTGTGTAAAAGTGTGCTGGTCTTGGCTGTGTCTGCATTACCATTAAGCCTGGAATAGATATTCTGCCCTAATCTCTCTACTTGGCTCTGCTGACCAAGTATAATGGAACAATTTCATAAAGGAATGAAAGCAAAAGTTACTGAAGCTGGGACCATCTCTGGTCTTCTTCTAATGGTTGACCTGTGGCATTTAAAACTTTTTTTGCTTCTGCAAACTCCGGTATTGATTCAGACATTAAACTGAAATAACTGAAAAACAACTTAACCTTGCATGACTGAGCCAAAATGCAGATGGTTGAGGAATTGTTAAGTCATTTATTCCGTTGGCAGGCAAGTGTTCATGTTGCAGCTGGTACCTCTACCTAAGTTTTCTCAGATGTAGTTTGAACAGGTGATGACATTTCTGTTAGATTGCCTAGAACTATTTCAGCATTGGTGAGTATTTTTGGCATTAAAAAAATCCATAATTTATCAAAGCAAACTATGAAAGACTATTTTTAATCTTGGTACTGGAGTTGTAATTCATCCTTGGTGGATAAATACTGTCCAGAAATGAAAACTAAATAAAATAATTTTATTCTATTTTAAAATACATTCACATAAATTGTCATTTCCTGCTGTCTCTCTCATAAGCAAATAACAGCTTATTTAAGGGGTGGTGTAAAGACATAATCCAGCTAATCTTGCTCTGTAAATTTGTCATTTCACTAGAGAAAAATAGTTGGAGAACTAATGGCATGGTTCCCATCAAACAGCACAAAACCTACAAGTGTTCCTTTAGACACAGGTGGCTCCCAATGGACATGGTTATGGCAGATGAAGCTGGAGATGGAGCATGGAGGCAGAGTGTGAGGTGGTGTGGCAGAAGCAGCTCCGGGCACAAGCACCCGCAGTGACAGCCTTGGCTGCCAGCGCTCTGCACTTCTGCTCTGCAGTCAGTAGTAACTGTGTGTTACATCCAAAAATTGTGTAAATTCATTACTAGAGAACTTAACAGAAAATATTTTCATCTTCAGGTGAAAAACAGATCTTCTCCCTATATTTTTAATACTATTTTTGAGAGACGAGAGAAAGGAACGATGATTACAGAAGAGAGCAGCAGAGAGGATCGTCTGTCTTAGCTGAGTTCCGTCATGGGTAATTCTGTCCTTGGCTCAATTTAGGAGATATAAATTTAATCCTGTGCTCTTCTTTCTCCTTCCCACCCCACACTTTGACTGAAGGTAGGAAGCCCCTGTGGCATCTTAGAGATTGCAAAGCAAGTGGCTTCATTAATACTGCTCCAATTTGTATTCCAAACCATGTTTCTTGCAATTACAAGTTGCCTGTATGGTAGGACAGTATTTAACACATTTTGGCTTATTCACTAATGTTATTCATAATGTGTTATTCATATATATATGTATATATATCTTTTGGATATATATATATCTCAATATATCATATAATAGAAATGCTATTCACTAAGCCTCAGGAAGATGACAACTGATAGGGTATAACATGTTCTTTTTGTCTTACGTAATGTTGAATTGCTGAGTATTTGCTGCCAGGGCTGGCTGTACTTTGCTGGAAGAGTCTCTCCAAACAATTTTCTGGCTGCACTGAAGAAAGTTATTAAAACCTGAAAGCTGGTGCATACCCTTTGTGGGAGGAAAAACAGGATTTACCTCCAGTCTGACCAAGAGGAATAGAGCACACTGCGCTGCAAAGCTTCTTGTCCAGATTAATCCTTCTTTACATGTCTTACTGCTCACCTGCTGAGGAAGGAAATGGGAGTGTGCTGACCCTGCTCCTTGCTGGACTTTTGTAGTTAAAACAGGTAAACACCGTCCATTCAGAGGAAAAAACAGGTGAGCTTTCAAACTGGGATATTCCTTGCACAGGCATCTGCTGAAAAAGATATTCATTGCCATCAGTGGAGTTATTTTTACACCACATGTAAAAACATTTCTTAGCTCGTGAGCATGGGGCAGGAGACCACAGGCCTGTGGGAGAGAGGGAGCTATATAGGAGGCCCATAGTGTTTATGCCCACTGTTGGGGTTTATGTCTTCTTTTTTTTTTTTTAATCAATATGATTTAAAGCAAAGAAGAATGAGGATGATGTGATGAGGACCATGAGTATTAAACATGAGTTGTTTTTATGTAATTGTTTATTCACCTAATCTAAAAAGCTGAATTCTGTGTCTGCAAAGGGTACTTTGTGGGCATTATAAACCTCTCTCTGCTTCTTCACAGCAGAAACAGGAAGGTTTTGGGGCATGGTTTGATGGTCTATGTGGGCTGAAGAACCCTCTTCAAAGCAAGTTATCCTGGTACAGAGAGGGGCCAGGTCCATCTCTTGCAAAAATAAAGCTGTGCATGACTGCATGGTCTGTGCGGGGCTGTTGGTGCTGACCTAGTGTAAAACCTTACTAGTGTGTAACATCATATATAACTTACATGATACTCATAGCTTACAGGTTTTGATCTGGCACTAGATAAAAGAGGATAGCTTTGGGATTCAATGAGTAACAGCAGAAGAGCTTTTTTAAACTGGCACTGCACCACGCAATAAACTGCCTGCTAGAGAGTTATTTTCACTTCTTTATTCTTCCTTTGCTTTGTGTTTAAAAGAAATGGACTCCAGAACTTTCTGGAAAATGATAACTAAAAAGGGATCACTCCCCCTTTCTCTGTGGCTGACAACATTTTTCTCTGCTGTTTGTAGCAATGTAGTGAATTTGTCAGAGCAGCCTGGAGCACAGCACAGCCACATCAAGGTAGGGGTCAGAAGCTTGTGCAAAGATGGATTTATTTCTGTCCTCTGCAGTGAGGGAAATTATCCTCCAGTTACTGCAGCTGGAGGAGAGGGAAGAACAGGAATTTGGTGGTGGTCCAGATTAGAAAGCCCAGCAAGACAAGAGTCCCTATAACTTGCAGCAATGGAAACGAGAAGTGGTGACAAGGCCAGGAGCCATCTGTGAGAGGTTCCCCAGCACATTATCAGAGCCTGGTCTAGCACTTGCACAGTGGAGCCCAACTCATGGGGGTGCTATAACAGCAGCAATCAACCAAACAGTTCACACCCCCATCTCAGCTGTACCAGTGGTAGAAGGTTTCATTTTAACAATCCCTGGCTGAAATCTTGGGTGTATATTCCTTTGGAGCTGGAATGGTCTGGATAGTCAGGGGGTTTCCTTGTAGAGCACCCCTTTACTCAGCGCTTTTCATTTGCTTTGTTGCTTTATATGACTCTTCAAACCAGCTGAAGAAAATAGTAGGTGTGTCTAGGTTGCTGCTATTTGCATTTGGATTTGCTGCCAAAATTGCATAAGGCATTTAGAAAGTCTCCCAAACGTGACAATATGCCAGATTGTGAATGGTTGAAAAGGACTTTAAAGGCAGACAGTTGCTGGTCACACTGGGAACAGCACCTCAGAGAAGCAGATTTTAACTACAGGGAAAGCCTCTTAACAACGTTGTATTTGTAGCTTTCTCTCTAATGCCAAAGGCCAGATTGATTCACACGTGCTGGGCTCGGGGATCTGTCTGCAGAAAGGGCCTGGGATCAGCCCAGGTTTATCCAGAGGAAAAGCCATTTTTCTGACTGCAGCCAGTGCTCAGTGCTCACGGGGGTTGCAATTGTTAGTGCCGTGATCCAGCTGTCGTCACAGCGCACGTCGGTCGTATTCTTAGGAACA